CATATACTGATATACTGTAATGTCAATCAGTAAGCTATATTATTGGAAATACGAAATTAGGTGTCAGTGTTTCACTTAAATTCACACTTGTAATTAGTGTGTAAAATGTACACGATCATGTACTGACATGATGTGTGGGGTGCGTTTCGCTATTTATTTTATACACACTCACTCACGCTAATGATCACTAACTACGCACACATTTATACGACCCGCATGCACAAAAAAAGAAAATTGCTTATGTTGAACTCCTTAAAAAGGCACGTTTTCAGAAGCCCTGGTGACGAAAAAATAACTAAAGTCATTATTGATTTATGATTATCATTGAGCGTTTAGCGTGGGGAGAAGAGTATGCAACTCATTCGAGGTCCGAGCGTGCGGTGCTCACAAAAAATTAAACTCCTCGCTAGTTCTAACCAAGAGATAGAAATAACAACACTGTCGTGTACTCATTTTACAAGCTTAGCTTCACGGTGAATATAATTTTTAACTAATTTGAATACATTAAACTTTGATTAATCAATTGTAAAAAAAAAAATGGTTAAAAAACTAAACAGCCGAAGAGGAAATATGACAACAATAATATTACCAAACGTTTTCCAATAGGCCTACAAATCTCCTTGAGTGATTGTCCTAACTCTGAGGCTTTGGTCGTCAACCTGACCTGTCCTCCGGACGAGAATACGAGGCGCATTGGTAAAAATGACATGATGTGTACTTACGGAGAGAAACTAATTGGCTTGACAGGCGACAGCTTTGATTATTATAGTAATAACTAATAAATAATAATATAATGTAATATGGGTTCGATTCAGCATTTTAGATTCTGAGTGGAACGATGAATGTATTGATTTTATAATGATGTGTGTTTTTTTTTATTTTTTTTTTGTGTCTGTCATTACGGTTTGGGGCAGTAAAACTGCTTCGATTTTCTTCAACAGTATCTTGTTCGATGGGAAAGTGAATCTAGTTAGTGCATTCGAGAGGTCAAATTTTAAAATTCCCATTAGTTTTCACGAGCGCAGAGAAAAACAACATTAAAATTAAGGAAAAACTGGAATTTTTAGGCAAAACCGGTTTTCCAAAAAATCGATTTTGATTTTTAGTGTACCTAACTCTAAAACAAAGGAACGTATATAGATGAAAATTTCACTGATTGTTTATATTTGCATTTTATATACACCATAAAATCTTCAAAATATTTTTGTTTGTCTTGAACTGATTAGGAACATTTTCATTTTCCATTTTTTAATAGGTAGTTTTGTTGTAAAGATATCAATAACATTTTATTTGTTGGTTAAAAAAGTTTCAACATTTTATAGAAGGCTCCCACTCTCCCAGTATATTATTTCAAAGGCAGATGAAAAACATTAAAAATCCTTAGTCACAGTTTTTATTTATAAGCATTTTAAGTTGAAAAATTGACAAAATATGGAAAAATCACGAAAATTAGCAAATTATTTTGAGTTAAGAATTCGTAAAAATTTTTCTTTTTAAATCTAAGATTTTAAAATGTAATACAAGAGACGGTTGTCAGTAAGCTTATTTTATAATAATACTTTTCAATTAAAATAAGATTATTGAGTTCATTGGTATTTGTTTAAATATCTAATTTCGTCCAATTTTCAATTTTTTACTTAAAATAATGATAAAAAAAATAAGTATTTTTATTTTTTAAGATTTTTTTTATGACAGTAGAACTATTTATAATATACTGCATTTTAAATTCTCAATCCTTAACTATAAAAACTGAACATTTTATACATTTTCTTTACAAAATAATTTATACATTTTCAAGATTTTGATGAATTATGTTAAATTTAAAACTTTAAATTTTAAAAGAGATTATGCCCATTTATCTTAATTTTTTTAAACATTATTTGTAACCTTTTATGAGTAACCATGTATAATATAGGTAAGAATATTTATTTTCTAATAAAGTTCCAATAAGTTTTGTATTAAATTTTCAATTCTTTGAGATACATTTGTAATATTTTTTAATTTCTTACTAAAAAGTAAAAATAATTTGCGAATTTTAGTGACTGTTTTATGGGGAACCTTGTATTGTACCTTCTGAAGTGTTTTGATAGAGTGAACATTTTTTTATCCACACTAATTAAAAAAAAAACTAACACAAATCGAAATTCTCTTATTCCCTCTAATCCCTCAACAATAGTCAATATATAGAATTAATAAAAATAAATATAATTAAAGGGTTCTATACGTTTGTCAATAGATAGGTTATAGATAGCATCCCTCATCATTCATCAGTCATCATGTCATTGTGTTATTGTTATTAGGCAGTGCCGCATTTAGACATTTTGCGCCTCTGTGCAAAAAAAATGTTCACCCACTAAGACCCGGTGAAAAAATTGCTCAACCCTAAGGGGCCTACCCGCTTAAAACATGGGAAATAGATCCTCATTAACCTTTTAGATTTTGAGCACAATAAAGAATATTTGTTTTACAATGTGTGCTTTTTTTAAAAATATTGTTGAGTAATTGCTTAATCCTCTTTCCGGAAAGATACATTTGAATTTATGTCACTTAAACCTTGCTTATAATTCATCATATAAGTTGTTTTTTTAAACATATTTATGTAGGTACTTCATGAATAAATAAAATAAAATTATATAAATCTATACAAATAAATATTAATTAAAAAATTTCAAACAGCATAATATTATAGTTACTAGTTACTACTAGGTACCTATTGTCCATTGTATTTAATATAACGATTAGTCTTAATATTACTTTTATCAATTGTATTGTTTAATTTAAACTTTGATTTTTTTTTATGAAAACTTCTGCTTCAAAACTAACTTATTTGAGGAAGCATATGTATTTTTTAATATTATTGCTTGGTATTATTATTTGTTGATTCAGGCCACATAAAACATGTGTTTTATTATTTTTTGTTATTTTTTATTTTAACAGTTTTTTCTAGTAGAAAATATACTTTGATTTTCTACGTCAATATCTTTTCTGTAGACAAGTAAATCTAGTTCATACTTTTAAGATATCAAAATTGAAAATTCTTATTTGTCAATACTTAAAAGAATTTAAGGAAATTGTGATTTAGTTATCTTTTAACCGGGAATCCCCATTTTTTTTAAATAGTAACGTTTCCATGAAATCGTATTCATGGAATAAATAGCTACAAATCCGGTTATAATTATAATCCTACATTAGATACGAGAGAAAAATATTTTGTTTTATAAACATATATTTCGAAATAGTAATTTTTGGATTTAAACTATAAATTGTTATAAAATTAATAGTCTATTAACTGTGTTTATCATGGACGATGATAAAAGTTATGATTCATCTAATGAAAAGACAGTAGAAACAGGAATTACAAATAAATCTCAAAATAGTGAACAAATAAAACTGTACGGTAAACATTCAATACGATATAGTTAGGTATCTTTTCAATAAAATTATATTTCTAAGCTCATAATATATATGTTTTCAGATGTTTTGAAGGTCGCTTGAGACACACGCGTTTTTTTTTATTGTTGAAATTTAAATTATTTAATTTTTTTTTTAAATAGATACAAAAACTTTTTACAACACAAGACAATGTGATACGCCAGTCTAATGCCAGCCATTGACTTAAGTAAACTGTAAGTTACATGAAAAAGAAGATAATCAGTAATACTGTACAATTTAAATATTGAATTTTTGAAAATACCACTGTCCAAATATCCGACACGAAAATAGGAACAGTCACCAATGTTTTTGTAAATACTAACTGATAAGTGATAGTTAAATACTTAAATATGAAATGAAAAGCAACCGTATGAATGCAAAACTTAATATACCTAATATTATATTTTATGAATAAAGAATTCTGAATTTCTAAAATCTAAATTAATGTGTACCTACACTAGAAACCGTTACGCAAACCACCGAGTGATAAGCTTTAATACGTGTCTCTCCAATTTTCGTTACCCTTGATATAATATAATATTATGGGTATTTATCACTTTGAGTGCAAGGCCAAAAATGACAAAACTGACCATTCTGAACAGGACATTTTTTTTATAACGTGTGTACCATATAACTTTATCATTATCAATACACGCGGTACAATTAAACATATTAGTTGTGTATTGAAATTGATACACATATGGCACTCAAAGGGTTAATATAATATATCTATATTATGCATAAGTATAGGTGTACAGTTTACAATATTGCATATTAAATTGTTTGTTCGATCTTCGATATTCTAGATAATGGAGATCATTATTGTGCATTTGTGCAGTTACTGTGTAATAATGGAATATAAATTGATTCTAAATTTTGCATATTCACGACTGGTTGTAATTTAAGAAAACCTTGTAAAGTATAATATAATAATTATTAGATGTAACAAATAATTAATTGATATTTTAGATCATTATTATACATTTATTTGAGAATACACTAATTGTAAATAATGTGTTTATATAATATAATATATTCTACACTCTACATGAAATATTATACATAAAAATATTAGTCGTTATTAGTCTGAATAAGTTGGCAAGTATTCAAGTTAGGTAGGTACGGCGAAAAACCATTAGGTGTAGGTATTTGACGTAGTGGTAGGATCTAAAAATCAATTTTAAAACAAGTTAGTAACACATAATTTTTTCATTGTCGTCTATCTGCTTAGTGTGACCTTCTTTCATCAGGTGGCCTCATATTGTAAAATGTACTTAATAACAAACCGACTACATATTATCAGCATCCATGCGATATAGTGGTTTAGATTTCGCGAAGAGCCGATATTATCTGTATAGAACTGTAGTGCTGTAGTAAACATTATGAAATTACTGCGGATATTGTCAGTGTTTTATAGAATGTTTTCCTCTAACTAAATGTTTGAAAATGTACAATAAAATATTGTTTAGTGTAAAGTGATGTTTATTTTATATAATTACTGTATAAACATTTATGGTTATTCTTATATTTTTTAATATATTTGCTTTAATCACCGCTGACCATTAACAATGAAGTTGACGTATACCTGGTTAATGTATTCATTTTTATGTTTTGGTACGTAATATCACTGTTAACAATAAAATAATAAATAGTAAATCATGTTTTAATGATATTATGTTAGTACTTAGTACAATATGTATTATATTTGAATGAAAAACACTATAGTTTAAATATTTAAAACAAAATCCATCTACATTGAAGTGTTTTGAATACAATATTTCGATATAATATATTATAACCAGACATTTTTCTAAAACAATATTTGCCATATAATTATACTGTTAAAAAAAATTTAATTTCAAACCGAATAATATAAATACAAATACAGTTTTTCATTTTCTAAAATTTAATTTAGTCAAAACAATATTACAACAAATATAATAACTTAACAAAATATAATTTCGATACATAATATAAGATTGAGTTTTCGTTGAGAGAAAAATTGTTAGTGGTGAAATGCTTGCGGGTAAAACTTACTTGTGGTTTCCTTTTTACATTTTATTGGCTTTTCAAAACTTTTATTGCCCCCAAACTATTATTAACTGAAATACTGCCACAGCACATATAACTCAGGAATGCACGATACATAAGATGACAAAATATTACCTTATATTAGTATTTATAATATGTTATTATTGAATTCAAAACTGCAAGTTCAGTACAATCAAAAATATAATAATAATTCACTAAACATTGTTTACGTATTTAATATATTATACTAATTCATTGTTTCAGGATCCAGAATTTTGTGTGATAGAACATATGACGTATCTTGTTCAATGTTGGTAATTGTTGTACAAACACATATTATGTTATTATAAGTGGTGAAAATAGCGGTGGTTGCGGGCTTAGGGGTTTGGAGCCCAAAGTTTTAATAAGTACCATAAAACAATATACGAGCTACATTTAATATTAAGTGCTGACTACAAATCTTATGACTTCACAATACTCCCATATTGTGCTATACCTACTATAGGAACTTAAAAAAAAATATGTGACTATGCCACTCAAAAGTTAGGATGTTCTAAACTACTTCTGTTTTTACTTTTTCATTATGTAAAAAACTAATTGTATCTACTATTCTCTTATTTATTATTTTTTATTAAACTTTTGAATACGCATAAGACATTCCATAATTTGATATAATATTGTTATATTATAACATATTTTATTATGTTCTGCAATTTAACTGTTTATTATAACCATGAAACTATTTTATATTATTCATTTTAAACTATATAAACATTATATTATATAGGTTTCTAACTAACGACATACTTATCTTCCCATAAAGACATTTTGTCCACTGTCTAGTGTGTATTTTATTGTAATTCAGTAAACTTGATAGTACCTATACGTCAGAAAAATCGTTTTTGTGCTAATTTTGTCAGTTTAAACTACCTATATATTTTACTGCTGGCAGTTATGTTATAATATTATACGTAGATTTGGCATAACTATATAATAATATTATTGTTTAATATATATCAGCCCTTTTCAAATTCGATTAGATTTCGAACATATTTATATATATATAATACAATTTTATAATTAATATTAAATAATATCTAACTTGTTACATAATTGTATACAATTGTAGAAATGCCGAAGATAAGTTTAAATGTCCAAATGGAATATGCATCGAATCGTCGAAAGTTTGTGATGGCCGTAAGGATTGTTCAGATGGTACAGACGAGACCAAAGAGTCGTGTGATCGATACGAGTATGAAATCGATATCACCATGGGTAAAAAATAATAGCCTCATGACATTTAATATATTTTTGTGTTTGTGTAATAACCAATAGATGCCAGTGTTGCGCATATTAATCTAAAAATAAAGCTTCTAATATTACATCTAATATTCTTTAAGATTGCGGTAGAGTAAATGCAAAAAGCCAAGGAATAATCGGACAAGGTATGAGTAAAGCAACAGTTGAAACAACACCTTGGTACGTTGGAATATATGGATTAAATAAAACAGATTTCTATTATAACTTGATATGTGGAGGATCAATTATTGCACCAAATTTAGTCATTTCGGGTAAAATACTGGTATAATATATTTAAGAAGTAATGCGAATTAATAAAATAATATTTTTAGCGGCTCATTGTTTTGGACAATATGATACGATGAGATCTAAAAAAATATCAATAAACGATGGTATAATTAAAGTTTCTGTTGGAAAATATGATAGAAATTTTACTGTTATTGACAACAACTTTACTCAAATAATAAATGTAAGAATGTAATAATTTTAAATCAAATATTAAAATCTATTGATAATGTATAATATAAATTCAAACAATTATAAAGGTCAAAACGATTTACCATTACGATGGTTATTGGGGAATGATTAACAAACATGCTAATGATATAGCTGTCATTGTGTTAGCAAACAAAGTGTCGTTTAGTAATGGCGTTACACCTGTTTGCGTCGATTGGAAACGTGAATACAATGTAGTAAACGGAGATCAAGGAAAGGTAAATTTTCTGTGCTATAGTTTGTATAATTTTGTTTAATACATGAAATATAATTTGAAATATTTGTCTGCTGCAAAGTGGAAATTTGTACTAAGTGGCAGGAGGTGAAAGTTAGCAACAAAAGTTAATGTTTGTGATAGCTTTGGTAAATCCAACCTATAATTAGTTACAAATTAAGATCTAAAAAATACAATTCACCCGGCAAATTTTGAACAAAATGGTAGAGTTGCATGTGTATTAGGCCCTTTAAAGTTCAATTCGTCACGACTCGCTTTGAAGAACGTACAAAACGAAAAACTAATTAAAAAATATTTTCAGATTCAATTCTGCAATATTATAATTTGTAATTCGTAATTTTAACATACCTACTAGGCTAACTTTGTATCTTTTCACATCCCTTATACGTCGTATTAGTTAATTTAGTACTATTTAGCTTCCACTGCAACCAGACTAAAAATGTTTTCGTAAAATCACTAAGCATTATTCTTATTTGACATTTGAATTATTTCCAAATTTAAAAACATTGATTAATGAGACTTTAAGCAACTAATAGAATCGAATTCGATATTAATATTATACCATTTTTATAATTGTTTACGACTGTTTCATACTTTTACAGATTGTTGTTTGGGGAGAAATGAAAAATGGCATACAAAGTGCGTTATTAGAACAATTTTTACCTTACATCAACACTAGTTCTTGTCGAGAAATGTATTTGTATAGCGGATTTGATGTAAATGTGACTTATGATAAGTTTTGTGCTGGTTCTAAATTAGGTAATACAAATTTAGATTAAGAGTTTAGCAATGAAAGTATAGATTTGTCTATTTTTTTTGTTTATCTGCACAATTTGGGGCAATATAAATCCTTTGATTTTTTAACTATAATGGTGGTTTTTGATTGAAGATTGGATCTGGTTGGTACTTTGGACTTTGGAGGTCAAAAGTAAAATAACTTAACAATAATTGGAAAAATTAAAAACTATGTATTATGGAATTCGGGAATTTATATATAAATTATAAAACCAGTTGTTGAAAATCTATATAATTTTTTTTTTTTTTGACTTACTTAAAAATGAATAACCATTGATATAGGTACATCGTACAAGAGATTTTCACCAAATTTTTATATTTGTATTATCTGTGTAATATTATTATAACATTTTCAAAATATTTTAAATGTTTTTGAGCTATTTAAAAAGTACCTATATATATATTGAATGTGTCAAAAACTTTAAAACGTAACACAAAGTTTCTCATTTACCTAAAAATATCAAAAGTATAAAGTCACAGTATTTTTTTATAAGCGTTAAGCATTAGTATTAGTAATTTAACAAAAATTATCAAAATAACATATATTTGCTAACTATATTTTGTATTTTGACATTTTCAATTTTTATAGCTATGACTTTTAAATTTCTAAATTTAATACAACCTTTCCCGTAAGTAGTTTATATTTCATACAGTAACTGAAAAATCATTGATAATTTCAGGATAAAAGGTACTTTTGCAAATCCTATGTTTTGCAAAAATTGATTCTTTCTACCTATTGTTACTGTTTAGTAATTCACAAAATATATTTCTAAAAATGTATCAGCCAAATCATAAACTATAAATAGTTTGTACCTTTAGTAGTATTTTTAATTTTTGTTTAAATTATTCATTAAGTATTTCCAGGAAAGTTACGTATTTAATACATTATTAAAAAAAATTGTTAACATTTCTATTGACTGTTGGTGTGTAATTTCTATTTAATTTTTAATTTTAAAATATGTAGTCATATAGCTATATATAGGTATCAAAGAATTTTATAGAAGATTGTCTTAGATTGTATTTATTAATGAATAGCAAAAACAATTATGCAATTAAGTTATATGTGCCATAATGTGGCATGTGCACTACTAGGCCTCTATGTTCATAATTTTTTTAAATATTTCGGTGTGCAGTATCAAAATATCTTAATTTTAGGCCCTGATCTATAGTAGTATAGAGGACTATTAATTTGTGTATTGTTATGTATCTTTAGTTTCAGGACAAGGAGAAAGTGTTGAAGATAGTGGAGCGGGAATAACATTTTTACACTCGAATTCTTATTTTTTATCCGGAATTTTAAGTATCAAGGATACTGTAAAAAACAGTTCAATATTAGGTTTTACAGACATTAATGAACATCTTCAATGGATTCGTGGCCTGTTTAATTTCAATCATGTACGTAAATATGTTTCTTTATAAGTAACAATTTTAATTTTGAATTATTGTATGTATTCGATGGTTATTGGTTATTCCATGTTTATTAAAACTATTACTTCAAAACAACATAATATTATATTAAAAATAATATATATTTTTAACAATATTTTTTTAATAGGTCACAGGTAGTCCTTGCGTTTTACCAACAGTCGAAGGAGTTGTATATTCTTATGAAGGTGCTAATAACATTTTATCACACGGGACATTAATTAAATATCTTATTACTGTTATTGAAAACTGTGAAGTTGGATACCATCAGGCCTATCCCAATAGTTTTAGAGTTTGTCAGGGAAATGGAAAATGGTTATCAAATTCTGACAAATTGTGTCTTAGTAAGTTTTATACAGTAATTGAATGTTGTAATAATTAGGTACCTACTTATTCAATCATATTTTAAAAGTCCAAAGTGCGGTTATGTTTGACTAATATCCTTTATTTACGATTATAGAAATGTGTCCACCTTTAGAATCAGATAGTTTAGATATTAAATGTAGTCATAATGGAAATTATGGAAATTGTTCAAATTTATCGATACCTGATACAATAGCAGCACCATCGTGTAAGCCAAGATATACTGCTCCAATTGGACAAGATGATACTAAACTTGAATTACTTTGTCAGTCTGATGGAACGTGGAATAAACAATTGTATAGATGCAATCCATGTAATTGTATTCTAACATAATTCTCTAGTTTATATATTATATTTTACTAATTAATTTAAATTTTATTGTATCTAAATGATTTTGTTTGTATTATAAGTAAGCACAAATAATCATTGGGTGGTCATAAACAACATTTTATACAATCATCTTTATGTCTATTCTCTATGTATTGTTAACTATAAATTATTATCGTATATGTTTATATTCAAATATTATTTTAGATTGCGGTAGAGTATATACCCTAAACCAAGTATTGATCAGCAATGGAGAAAAAACACTTTTTGGGACGGCACCTTGGAATGTTGGAATATATAGATTAAATAAAATAAATTCTAATTATGACTTTATTTGTGGAGGATCAATCATTTCTCCGAATTTAGTGGTTTCTGGTAGTATCTTTGTACATCAAATTTAAGTAAGAATGAATATAAAATTAATATAATTTTCAGCTGCTCATTGTTTTTGGCGAAAAGGTATGATTTTTAATAGAATATCAGTAAACGATGGTCTATACACAATTGCTGTTGGAAAATATTATAGAGACTTTACAGTAATTGACAATGACTTTACTAAAATTATTGATGTAAGTTATTAATAATTAAAAATAATAAGAATAATGTTGGTTTGATAAGTATAATAGAAGTTAATACAATAAACAGGTGGAAATGATTTACCTGAAAGAAGGTTATTATGGACCAATTGGGTTTCATGCTGAAGATATAGCTATTATTGTGTTACAAAAGAGAGTTTCATTTAATAATGGTGTTGCACCTGTTTGTATCGATTGGAATGGTAGATACAATGTATCCAATGGAGATCAAGGAAAGGTTGGTTTATAGTATTATTTGGATTTTAAAATTGTGATTTATTTACAGTAAATTATTATCCATATAACTATCCATATGTATGTAAAGTGCAAATTGTAATGCTAAGTTCATGTTTATAACAAAAGAAACATGAGTAAGGATTTTTATTTTTTTTAACTATATTCGTAACAATTAATAAGTAAGTATGTATTCAATTTTAAAGATCTAAGATTTTATTCTTGAATTACAACACATTAAGAAAATCGTTTTTTTAGAATTAGTCAATTTTTACGGCTGAAACCCCTATGTCAAAATAATATAAAGAATATCATAAAAAAATTGTTTGAAATATATCGAGAATCTCTTACTAGATTTTAAAATAAATATAAACATCCTGTTGAAATTAAAAGTATCTACAGTACGTATATTAGTTTTTTAGTTACATCAAATAAATAATATCATGTTTGTCAAAAACTGGCTTTGAGTAAAAATCCCCGTTTTTCCTTAACTTTTTTTTTTGTTTTTACTATCGCTTTTTGTGAATTTTCCAAGGTTCACTTATAAAAATCTAATATAAAAACTTAATATTAAAAAACCACTAAAAATTATTCCTATCTCATATTTCAATCAAATTCCAAAATTATAAAATTTTGACCAGTTAGACTTTATTTAACTAATTATTATACTCATTACTACATACGCGCATACCCAATTATAAATACGATAGTTATAAAATTATACATTACCTATACAACTGTTTCATATTTTTACAGATCGTTGGTTGGGGAAGAACAGAAAAAGGCATTCTAAGTCCTATTTTGTTAGAAGCATCTTTACCATTCATCGACCATAGATCTTGTAGAGATATGTATACAAACGGGTTTGAATCATTTGTGACTGTTGATAAATTTTGTGCCGGTTCAGCATTGGGTAATACAATATTTAAACATTAATATCGTGAAATCTTCGAATTTTTTTAACAAACCTAACTTAAACTCATTAAACACTAAATATTGAAGATAAACACTTGTAAAAATGAAGATTACTTATTAATGTATCCCATTTTACAATAATAATTGTAATAACTATAGATATACAAAATATATATTTACTAATCTAGCAATGAAACTAAATATATACATACATAGCGAGCGTGCTTTGGGTGCCACTTTGTCGAACTACACCCTAAGGCTTTACGCATTGACTTCATACTTTATAGGTTAATGATCAATAATATCAAAAGATTAACTGGCTGTCACTGTTAAAGTATGTTGAGGTACAAGTCGTTAGACTGCATAACATTTGGAGTTAAGCAATGTGATAAACAGTTCGGTTCTCATGTAGTGGTGTATGATGGAAAAAAGAAAAAGAATGCATAAGATTATCGTTTTAGTTCCATCCCTAGTAGACCTCATCGATTTATATTATAAGGTAATAGAGTATAATTCAGAATTGTAAGTAAAGTTATCAGACTTACATAATAGTTATACCTACCCTACCTAGTACAATCTAAACTTTAATTGTCAAACGCTAAACGATTACATGCAAATAAATTATATTACTGTGTTTATGGGCAATAATACTATTATTTAATTGAAGCATGATACAGGGTGCGGCAGTTAAGCCCGATGATTTAAAATGAACTGGTGGACGTGGCTGAAGTGGCAGAGATTTCGGGAATGTTCTTATCGCTTTTAAATACCCGGAATTTAGTAATCATGGAGCATTGGTCGAGTGAACAGCGTGAGGTTCGTGGTAAAAGAGTATTACAAAAGTAATGATACAATATGTAGTAGTAATGGGTGGCTACTGGCTAACCAAGGAAGGCATTTGCCCAACACAATCTTGAACAATTAAGTTTTTAAAAATAATATAACATAACATTCTAGTTCGTCGCCAACCGTTACTATGACTATCACAAGTAATTCCGTTCCACTCGCTTATCGCGTGATTTCGGTCACGACGTCACGTGTTTCTCTAACCACTTTCTGTAGTTTTACTCTCGTAAAATATGAAATCTGGCTCTTCACCGTCGAAGACTTCTTCCAAACGGCATCATTCAAGTTCAAGTCTGTCCCCCAAAAAGAGATGAAGAAAACCAAGCAATTTGTTTCGCCGAACAAGTTTGCTATTCTGTCCCAAGATAAAGATGAGTTAGTATCCTTTCCCTCTCATTCTATTTTAATCGGGACAAATTCTCAAACTCATAGAGTACAAGCACGATCTTCAGACAAAACACACTTTCACTCGCCACCATTTTACGTAAGTATAGTAGTTATGATTGTTCTACGCTCACAATGAAATTATTAGATCTCATACAGCCACCATGCATTTATTTTAAATCAACTTCAAAATATCTGGTTATCCGTACCGACAATGCGACAAATTACAATTTAGTAACTGACATAATGATAGTATGCTTGTAATATTGCACTTGTAGGTACATCGTTTGTAAATTGTAATTAATAAGGTAAATCTGTATTGTACTATTTATAATATATTTTTTATTTCAGGACAAGGGGTGAATAAGGGAGATAGTGGTGCAGGTTTATGCTTTGTACACTCTAATTCTTATTATTTAACCGGGATAGTCAGTATTAAGGATCCAAATACAAATAATTCAATCGCTGTTTTTACAGAAGTAAAGCATCACATTCAATGGATTCGTGGACTATTCAACAAATACGTACGTACATTGGCTAGGTTTATTTTTAATGACAACTTTTGCTTCAAAACTAAGATATTTTAGAAAGATATATAATATTTTAGATTCTGAGTGGAACGATGAATGTATATTGATTATGCAATAATGTGTATTTTTAATATTTTTTAATTTTTATTTGTGTCTGTCATCACCTTTTAGGACAGTAAAAGTGGTTGGATTTTCTTCAGCAATATCTTTTCTGATAGGAAAGTGAATTTAGTTGGTACTTTGGAGGGTCAAAAGTAAAATTCAATTAGTTTTCAAAAGCAACGGGAAATTTTTACTCAAAATTGGTATTCCACAAAATTGATTTTGGTTTTTGGCGTAACTCTAAAACAAATTAACGTATGTACATGAAAGTTTATGGTTGTTTATATTTTCATTTTCTATACCTAAACGACAACATTTTCAAAATATTTTGATTTGTTTTGAACTTTTTAGGGACATTTTCAGTTTCCAATTTTTTTAGTTTTTTTTTCTATGAATGTCAATAAAATTTTATTTGTGGGTTCATTTCTACGGCCCTTCTATTTGGAATTTTCAAATTCTGTTTGCTTCAATCGTTTGTGCATCGTTTGTGCACGAAAGTGCACGAAGGCTGGTCTTTTGTGCACAATTATTTCCGGAGATATCTCAAAATCAAATTCGGTGGACCCAAAAACCTACGCTGTATAAAATATTGCTTATCCTAATCCTATATGTTAATGATTAACTGTAGTCTGTAGGTATCTAAAGAAGACAATTATTAATGTATAGGTCACTGAACCTTTCACCACAAAGTAAAAATATTGTTACAAAAAAGGTTTTACAAATTAGTTACCAATTCGTAATAATTCGCAACCAAAAATTTGGAGTTTATAACTCAAGTATAACAACCCAAATTCCATTTTCGATTTGCGGGCGACAGTTTCAGTAGTAGTTCTCCAGCACCCGAAATACGAAAAACGGTTTTACAGGGTTCATAACCTCCAAAAACACCTAAATTTGAGGGGCAATATCTTACCAACGGATTATTCAAAACTTAAAATTTTAATAATAAAATTCATAAAAAAAATTATTTTATAAATTCTATAGATTTTCTTACATAGGTTGCCATTTAAAAATCAAAATACAAAAATTAGAATTAAAATAATAGGGTTTCTGAAAATGTTAGACATTAAAACATTTTGATATTTGAAAAAGAAAATTTTGAAAAATGTTAATACTTTTTGAAATAATGAGATACTTATGTTAAATCTATCACCCTGTAGTAACCCGTTGCTCTCACTTGATTGCTTACTGCACACTTCTTTAACGACGAATGTACGTACACTTCGTCGCAATGAATCGGAGGATGGTGGTTGAAGTGAAGGTAGAATAAATAGTTTAACACAAAATGTAGTTAATTATAGGTATATGTTTAATAACACAAAACTAATATAATAGTTGATTTTAAGTTAGTTAAAATTTGTCGACAGAATAATAATTCTACCGGAGAATAGTTGTAATTTAATTTGTACTTGATGTGGACGGCGATGCGGCTGTTTCTAGTCCGCGACCCACACAAGTATTGTAAAGCACTGGTACCCCCCCCCATACTTATTACGGTTTCGTGTAGATTCAGGTGACACTATTCTAGAAGAACATTTGAACAATGGTCCAAAAAATTCGTTGTATAATAGTCCTGGCATTCAAAATAAGATTATTTCTATTTGTGGTTATATAATTAAGTCAAAAATAGCCCAAAGAGTTAATACTGCCGAGTGCTTTTCTGTGTTAAAGAAGAGTCACGCCCTAATACAGCAATTTCAGGACTTGACAATTGTAACATACTTTTGTTTCAAAACAACTTTTGCAAGTCTTAGCAACTATACCTATGTCAACAGTGACACCAGAAAGAACATTTTCTTCTTTAAAAAGATTGAAAACGTATCTTAGGAACTCGTCTGGTGAAACTCGTCTCAACGGATTAGCATTAATGTCAATTCACAGAGAAATAAATGTTGACCCAGAAGAGGTGCTAAATCAGGTTTGCAAAATAGTCGAGGAAAATTATGTTGCTTTAAAATCAAACTCTGGTTTATTGTAAATTTAATAATTTTTTTTGTTAAATAAATACAGCATAAATAAAAATAAAACTGATGTATTTTGAATAATAATTAATAAAGTAAATTTGTATTTGTATTGGTATCTATTACAATTATAATATTATATGGTCATATTTAATTCATATTCTTGAAAATTATGTTTTAGTTTTATATTAAAATGAACCCCCAAAATGAATGCTGGATTTAAGTATAATTAATATACTCATTTACTTTATTGGCAATTATATCATCAAATATACTTAGTAATATCATAGGCTGACTGACCGTTTTCGCTCAGAATCGATTTTCTTATGCAATGATATTATATCATAGTATTTAAATTTAACACCATCCATTACAGTGACCCAGTTATTACCTACTGTACAGCAGAGCGATATCCACTTACCCACCTTTTTAACATTTAGGATGGTCTGGCCAAAATTAATTCATGCGTTTTACCAACTGTCGAAGGAGTTGTATATTCTTATGAAGATTCTAATGAAACTTTGTCTCACGGGACATTAATTAATCATCGTCTAACTGTTATTGAGAAATGTGAAGTTGGATATCACAAGGCCTATCCTTATGGTCTTAGGTTTTGTCATGAAAATGGAAAATGGTTATCAAATTCTGATAAATTATGTTTGAGTAAGTTTTGTAATTATCATAATTATTTACTACTACTACTATTAATATTATTATTTATATTATTATTATTACTATTATTATCTCTACTTCTATCACCATTAATGAATTATGACTCCCAGATTTCCTACTTTTCCGGTTGCTTGTCCTAACATATTCTTTCATATGAACCTTGTCCTGACAATTACGAACGAAACAAAAAAGGAATTACCGAAATCAGTCCAGCCGTTCACTCGTGATACCATAACAAAGAATTTTTTCTATTTTTATATAATATAGAGATTTTCTTTAAATAGATGATATACCTATTATATGAATAAAAATGGGCTAAATCCCAGTATCACCGGTTAGTTATATAATAGATATGACTATAAGAGTATATTAGAGCAAATAAATATGGAATAAGAATATAAAAACAGAATTAAACATACAATTAATTAGTAATATTTAACAGCATAAAATTAACTTGGTGGAATTAGATTTACAATGCAAATTTAAAATTTTGAATAGAGGTGGGAAGAAAAAGTCGATATTGGTGTTCTAGTTTTGTAAAGAGACAACGCTCTTGGAATGGGGGAGTTAGTGAGATAATTTGTGAAGTATGAATGTACTTATATAAAAACATAAATTGAGTGGCTATTTTAAGAAGGAACATTAAAAGGGATGGAATTTAGAAGTGTAAGGAGAATATTGATAGTATATTTAATAATTAATTAATATAATATAAAAGTTATGTATGATACTTCGCAAAGTAATGAAAGGGGTATTTGAAAATTTATGTTTGATCTGATTGGATTGTAATAATGGGTTTATACTCTATACGGGTATAATAAGTTTATAAGAAACACATTTCTAAAAACGATTCTACATAAGATTCCCAAATTAGGGTATGGCCATTGGTCACCATATAATCCAATATTGATTTAATAAATGCGTGGTGTATGAGTATGCATGATCGCTGATATTTAAAATGTTGAAAAGATTGATTCCATAACTTTAGAACTACCTGGAATTATTTTTACATGTAATTAGAATGTTAAAATAAAACTTATTGAAATATCGTAAGTCGGATGTTTATTTATGTTAATAGAAATGTGTCCACCTCTACTATCAGATACTTTAGATATTAAATGTACTCTTTATGATAAGTATGCTGATTGTTCAAATTCATCAATGCCAGATACAATAGCAACACCATCATGTAAGCCAACATATACTTCACCAAATGAAGACGAAGAGTTATATTGTCAATCAAATGGAACGTGGAATAAACCACTATTTAGATGCAATCCATGTAATTGTATTTTTTTATTATTTTTTTTTTTATTGATCCTTAAACCTGGCATCTATGGCCGTTAGCTGTTTGTAGAGTTGTATTGTATGGTGGTGGTAGGGTTTGGAACGGTGAGGTTTTACACGTGAGTGTTTGTGTTTGGCAGAATTTTTAAGTGGGCACCCGTAGGTATCTGCCATGCCCGGGTGGGGGATGGCAGCACTTGTTCTCTGGAACATAAATCTCTAATTTATATATATTTTAATAATTCACTAAACTATTTCTATCACCAAATGCTTTTGTTTGTATTATAAAAGTTAAAATGAAAGATGAAATAATCATTAGGTTAAGATAGGTATTATTTTTTGATGTACATTTTTAACCTTTAATAATATGTTCTATAACTTTTGCATTATTATTATATTCTATATTTGTATTCAATTATTATTGTAGATTGTGGTAAAGTATATGTTGGAAATAAAATATTGATCGATAATGGTAAGAAAGCACTCGTTGGAACAGCACCTTGGAATGTAGGAATATATCAATTAAATAAAGAAAATTTTAATTATGACTTGATTTGTGGAGGTTCAATAATTGCTCCAAATTTAGTCGTTTCTGGTAAAAATTTGGTACAATGTATTTATGAATGAAAATTAATTTAATAACATTTTTAGCGGCTCATTGTTTTTGGCAAAAAGGTATACCTAATAGAATATCAGTGAATCTTGGTCTATACAGAATTGCTGTTGGAAAATATGCTAGAGATTTGAATGTAATTGACAATGACTTTACTCAAATACTGAATGTGAGTTACCTATTAATTTAAAAGAAGAATCTTAGAATCTAATATCTAAATAATAATGAGTGTGACCTATAATATAAATTTAAACAATTTTATAGGTAGAAATCATCTACCTAAATGAAGGTTATTTTGGACCTAATGGCTTCCATGCTAATGATATAGCTATTATTGTGTTATCAAACCGAGTGTCTATTAGTAATGGTGTCTCACCTGTTTGTGTCGACTGGAATAGTAAATATACTATACCAAATGGAGCTCAAGGAAAGGTAAGTTTTTACTTTTTAGTATGATTAAATATTAAAAGTATAAGTTAATTACTACATCATCATTCTCCATTGTTCATTTGCAAGTTAAGCCAAATACTGTGGCTACTCATTACTTATCACTACTTATTACTAATACGGCAACATTTACATAAAAATAGATTAATTCTATACATTTATTATAATGTAATTATAAAACTATAATATAACATATTTTATAAAACTATTTTATACTTTTGCAGATTGTTTGTTGGGGAAAAACCGAAAAGGGCTTATCAAGTCCCATTTTATTAGAAGCATCTTTACCATACATCAACCACGATTCTTGTCGAAGTTTGTATACAAACGGATTTGAAATATTTGTGACTGTTGATAAGTTTTGTGCTGGTTCTGCATTGGGTAATAAAATATTATCAATACTTTGAAATCATTGATTTTTTTTCAACACATTTATTAAATACTTAATATTTAAGGAAAACTCTTCTTTTAAATATGAAGATAAACTTAAAATTTAAATATTAAATTATTAAATCACATTTTACAATTAATATAAGAATACAAAATATATTTCTGCAAATGTATAAAATAAACTATACACAGAAGATTCCATAAGTTGTTACGATACCTACCAAAATTAACAGCCAAACTTGCTAGATTATCTCATAAATTATGTCTAATTTAGAGTCCCCAAACTGTGGTCGTGATTATATTTTTGGTGTGTTACATTTAAGTTTTGGAATATTTATATATTCTTATAAGAGTATTCTCTTCCTCAAACTACTATAATCTCAACTATCCGTCCTCCGATCATCCATCTTATACGCTACGTATTTTATTTTAGAGTACGGTTAGAACCCTTTAGATATGAATATTACAATAATAAAATGTTTTATGGACGCTAGGCTCAAATTTTAAAGGGAGAAAGAAGGGTCGGTATTGGCAAAGAGTATAAGATGGATGATCGTAGTTCTAACCGTACTCTAAAATAAAATACAAATAAAGTTAAAATAAAATATTAGATGACTTTGAATTATATATTTTCAAAAAGAAAAATATATCATAATATGTATAAATTTAAATTAACATGATTCAGACATACATTATTTTACGTGTTTCTAAGTTGAACATTGATGTTTGAATTTTGTTTTATCATTGATCATTGTCCGGGATGATTACAAGTGTATATCATCACGACCGTATTAGACTAAAAGTTATCGCAAATATAGTGATTATCAATGAAATAAAAAAAGTAAAAAAATAGGTTAGGTTAGTAGGTGGGTCACCAAATTTTGAATATTTTCCAAAATAATACGCATCGTTCAAAGTTTGGGTTTCAAAAAATTTGAAAAATCCAAAAGTTGAATTTATTTTTATTTCCCTTGAGATTCCGATTCGAGTTATCAAGACTCAAATGCATATACAATTAACAATAAACTAATATTTCATCTGTAATTAATAAATGTAAATTTGTATATTACCTACTGTCCAATAATGGAAGTATGATTAATATTTGTTGTATGAATAAAATATCTTTAATTTCAGGACAAGAAGTTTGTGAAGGCGATAGTGGTGCAGGCTTAACCTTTTTACACACTAGTTCTTATTATTTAACCGGAGTAGTGAGTGTGAAAGATCCAAACACAAATAATTCAATTGCAGTTTTTACAGATGTTAAACACCATATTCAATGGATTCGTGAACTGTATAAAAAACATACTTCTTATGCATAAAAATAATTTATTCTAATTGTAATTGAAATCAATATTCCTATGAATAGTTTTTAACATTTGTGTAATATTTTTTGACAGTTAATACAATTGTTCATTTGAATGAAACTTAATATGACATTATACATAGGTGGTTCCATTATAATATATTTCTTTTACAAATATTAAGTTTGAATAATTATTAAAATTAACAAATTTTGCATTATACAAGTAATTGTTTCATGATTTTTATTATTGTACTTGATTATTAAAATAACTACTAGTTTTTTTATTTCTCTATATCAATTTAAATTTAAAATTTAAAATTATTTTATTGTCTTATGCCGGGTTGCATGAACAATATATCAGGGCTTTGCACCCGAACGTAATTAACCCAAATAAATATCATAACCCAAAACCCATATATACAAAACCGATTGAAAAAAATTAACACCCAAAAAACCCCTGAAATGACCTGAAATCCGAATTTTCATTCGGGTTTACCGGAAACCCGAATTAATGAAATTTTTTTATTTTTATTTTAACATGAAATTTTCAATCTGTTCTTAACTAGAACAATAAGCAAATGTGCATAGGGTATTTGCGGATGAATTTTTTGAGGGAAGAAACCACCAATTGGTGATACTACCTATTTTGTTTTCTTTAGTTTTAAGTTAAGCTAATTTTAATTTTTAGACAGAAGGTCTCGACACCATCTTCGCTTAAGCCGTCTAGGTGGATTACCTGGAATGGACAAGGTAGATAGTTTTTTTTATTAGAGGATTAGGATGAAGAGGTAGTTTGGTGTGAAATCTTTTGTAGTAGCATTTTGCTTCATCAAGTGCTGTTGTTATTCTTAGATCGTTATGAAGCGTAAGATTGGATACGAAGGTGGGGGCATTTGTGATTTTTCTTAGGGCAATGTTTTGAAAAGCTTCAATTTTTTGAATATTTGATTTTTTTGCACTACCCCAGAGCTGGAGCCCGTAGGTCCAGATGGGTTTTAGAAGAGCTTTATATATTATTAATTTGATATTTACGTTAGTGTGTGTGTTTATGTGTAGCAATGAGCTTAGAGTGCGTAATCGATTGTTTAATTGTAACCTTTTTGATTTTATGTGTGGAGCCCATGTAAGTCGACTGTCTAAAAGAAGTCTTAGATATTTTACTGTTTGGGAATGAGGAATATGGATTCCGTAAAGATTAACGTTTGGACATGGAGCCTTTTTTAGAGTGAATGTCGTGTGAAAGGATTTATCTTGGTTTACTTTGACTGTTGACCCTCCATTTAGTGTACCATTTTTCCATAAGATGTAGGTGATTTTATAGATTTCTAAAAGCTATCAGAGGGTCTGCATTGATGGAAATTATTGCTTTATCGTCTGCATATTTTGCAATTAACGTGTAAAGTGTCGTAGGTTGATCTGATGCGTAAATGTTATATAGTATTGGGGAGAGTATGCCTCCTTGAGGGACACTTGCATTTATAGGGGCTATGCTTGAGACAGAGGAGCCATAGCATACTTGGAAGTTGCGGTTGGTTAAGTTTGATTTAATGAGAAGGTAATAGGAAGGGTGTAGGAATTTTTTGAGTTTAAATAGTAGGCCATGATGCTAAACTTTGTCGAACGCTTGTGAAACATCCAGAAAGACACAGGTGCAATATAATTTTTTCTCAAGGGAGAAAGAAATTGCATCAACTATCCTGTGAGCTTGACGGATTGTAGAATGTGATTGGCGGAAACCGAATTAATGATCTGGAAGAATTTTATTTTCACTGATGCTATTGAAAATTAAGTGGCATATCAATTTGTATGTATATTTTGCAACCAAAACGATTAAGAAGATAAGATGATAGTAGTGTAAGTGTGTGATGGATAACTCAATTTTTTTTTTAACTTTCAAAATAATAAATTAAATATTAATTAGACCTTGATGCTAAATGATTGTTTTATTTTATTTCATAATATTCAATAATAGACAATAGTAATTGTGTTGTCTAACATTCTTAATCAAAAATAAATACAAAGAAAATATGTTTAGTTAAAAATTAAAATATGTAATTAGCAAGAACTTTCTTCTTTAGAAAAAGGACTGAGTAAGTACCAAGTAATAAACTAATAACTTATAAGTATGAATATTTAATTTAATTTTTTAATTTTTTAATTTTTTTCATAATGTTTACTTTAAATATAAAATCAGATTACTATATTAAATTTGCATTGAAAATCACATGTTAATTAATATACAATATGTATTTTTTTTACACCTGAATTAACCATAATTAACCTGAATAAATTTGCATTTAGCCGTAACCAGAAAAGAGAATTAACCCGTAACACCCGAATTCAATAACCCGAATTTTCTTTCTACACCCGTAACCCGAAAAAATGATTCCGGTGCAAAGCCCTGCAATATATTAATTTAATGGACCAATCACGGGCCACTAAATCATGTTTATGTTTAGCGACTGTTCATGCAACCTGGCATTAGTTTTGTTAATGACAACTTCTGCTTCGAATCCAACTTATTTTCGGAAGAATACCTATACAGTTAATTTTAAATCAATTTTTTTTTCATTGATTAACATTTTTACAGGCTAGTAGGCTACATGGCATAAATTAAGATAGAAATTACAGATAGTATCTATAGCCGTGAGGTAAAGTAATAAAACTTAATAACTAGTGGGAACATAGGTTAACTTGTCAATTGTAGTGATGAGTCATTGGTATCATTAGTGTACAGTAATTATTTTTGGGATATTTCAACTTAGTAGCAGTAGCAATATGCTTGCTCTACCTCTTGTTAGTTTTCAGCTATCCTGTTATTTTCATTTTTAATTAATGTTACTGAACCACACATTTTATTTTAAGAATCCTAGGTTCAGTCTTAATTTTTAACACCAAAAAAAATTTAATTATGTAGGACGGGGTGAAGTGAACCTGCCGGGATGTAGTGGCCCATTCTCACTTTTTTGAATGTTTATCAGCATTACTTTGACATGGTTTTATTCATGACAAATTAGATAGGTATCATCATAGTATTTTGATACGCATCCTCCGCTCTTTACTTCTCCTATTTCGTGGTTCTCCACTCATTATTGGCTGTCAATCATATACCTACATATATAACATAGAACAAAATCAACCAATGAGAAGTGGAGAACTACGATATCGGCCGGAGGTGAGGGAGATGCGTATCTACTGTGAAAAACTAGTACCATTGTGATGATACCTATCTAATTTGTTATGGTTTTATCCAAATTAATTTAATCAATTCTACCTCCTTAGCAGTATGATAATGAAACATTTTTGATACTAATGGTAATACTACTTTTTTTTGTTTTTATTTGGATGTTTTTAAAAAGTCATTAATATCTCAAAAGTAAGCAACTAAATTGAAAATGTTCACTCATAATCTTATCAATAAGTTCATATGAATTAATTATTTCAATCATAATTGTAAATTTGTTGTTATTTAGTTTTTGCCGAAACAATTTGTAGACAGTTTTAAAAACATCAGGCGAATTGGACCCTCTTAAAATACCAAGAAGCTACAGGAAAAATTATACTGGTCGCTATAATTTGAAGTACACTGAACAAAATTTAACACTGGGAGTTAAATCTGTGAAATTAAATCAAATTTCTTTACGAAAATTATTTAAGAACAATTTTATATTTATAAATTGTAGGCAGCTCATTGCATATATTAGTGAAAAACGCATGCAAATGTGGTCTAAACTATTTAAAAAAATGCATTTAGGGGGCCACTGCAAAACTAGAATTGAGCCTAAGTGGTTTTTAATACCTGTTAATACGTGGACGTTTTGCATTGCAGGGCTGATCTATTGAAGTCATTGTGGCTTCAACACCTCCCTATAACCACACAGTCTGGCGCTGTACAAAGGATCTTAGATACTCGCAAGATTTTCAACCAAGATCGACAGCCCGAACGTAGCCGCAGTTTCGTCAACCATACAACAGACTTCTTCAAACATGATTCCCTAAAAAAGAACACATCATGCATTGATCTTTATGCGCTCAAGATACCGACAATGGGAATAACCTAAAGATGATTTATGCTTTTGTCACACAAACTTTAAGATGAAAGCGAAAAAGTATGTAGAGCCTTGCAAACACTACACCACTTTTAACCCGGAAAACTAGAAATCATATCTTCTATGGCAGTGGAAGATATGCCTTCTACAGACTGCCAAAACATTAATGCAAGTCATCGTTTAACGATTCAAGATAAAATATCAGATCAACGGTTCTGATGTCTCTATCATACCGTGTACGAAAAGACACGATAGCATTTCAGACTAAAGTGTATTTGAGCTAATACAACTCCAATCAACACATATGGAAAAAACACACTTACTGTTGATTTTAAGGCTTCGCCGCGTTTTCAAATGGCAGTTTTATAAAAGCGTCTGTATCCATACAACTCGGGATTTAAAACAAGTATTCATCCAGATTTTACACCTGAAAACACATATATACATCGTTGGCATTTGTAACCAAAAAGGACCTCCGTAACACACGTCAAGATTATTACAACGTAACAAATGACCATCTATATTGGACAATCACGGGCAGTTATTTTAGCGACGTCAAAACTGGCATTAGTTTGTTAATGACAACTTCTGCTTCGAATCCAACTTATTTTCGGAAGAATACCTATACAGTTAATTTTAAATCAATTTTTTTTTCATCGATTAACATTTTTACAGGCTAGTAGGCTACATGGCATAAATTAAGATAGAAATTACAGATAGTATCTATAGCCGTGAGGTAAAGTAATAAAACTTAATAACTAGTGGGAACATAGGTTAACTTGTCAATTGTAGTGATGAGTCATTGGTATCATTAGTGTACAGTAATTATTTTTGGGATATTTCAACTTAGTAGCAGTAGCAATATGCTTGCTCTACCTCTTGTTAGTTTTCAGCTATCCTGTTATTTTCATTTTTAATTAATGTTACTGAAACCACACATTTTTATTTTAAGAATCCTAGGTTCAGTCTTAATTTTTAACACCAAAAAAAATTTAATTATGTAGGACGGGGTGAAGTGAACCTGCCGGGATGTAGTGGCCCATTCTCACTTTTTTGAATGTTTATCAGCATTACTTTGACATGGTTTTATTCATGACAAATTAGATAGGTATCATCCACGGATTAATATACGGATTCATCCGTGGTATCACCATAGTATTTTGATTCGCATCCTCCGCTCTTTACTTCTCCTATTTCGTGGTTCTCCACTCATTATTGGCTGTCAATCATATACCTACATATATAACATAGAACAAAATCAACCAATGAGAAGTGGAGAACTACGATATCGGCCGGAGGTGAGGGAGATGCGTATCTACTGTGAAAAACTAGTACCATTGTGATGATACCTATCTAATTTGTTATGGTTTTATCCAAATTAATTTAATCAATTCTACCTCCTTAGCAGTATGATAATGAAACATTTTTGATACTAATGGTAATACTACGTTTTTTTGTTTTTATTTGGATGTTTTTAAAAAGTCATTAATATCTCAAAAGTAAGCAACTAAATTGAAAATGTTCACTCATAATCTTATCAATAAGTTCATATGAATTAATTATTTCAATCATAATTGTAAATTTGTTGTTATTTAGTTTTTGCCGAAACAATTTGTAGACAGTTTTAAAAACATCAGGCGAATTGGACCCTCTTAAAATACCAAGAAGCTACAGGAAAAATTATACTGGTCGCTATAATTTGAAGTACACTGAACAAAATTTAACACTGGGAGTTAAATCTGTGAAATTAAATCAAATTTCTTTACGAAAATTATTTAAGAACAATTTTATATTTATAAATGTAGCAGCTCATTGCATATATTATGAATAAACTCATGCAAATGTGGTCTAACTATTTAAAAAAAATGCAATTTAGTGGTCCACTTCAAAACTAGAATTGATCTAAGTGGTTTTTAATACCTTTATACTTGGACTTTTTGCATTGCAGGGCTGATCTATTGAAGTCATTGTGGCTTCAACACCTCCCTATAACCACACAGTCTTGCCTCGCTGTTACAAAAGGATCATTAGATGAGCTCGCAAGATTTTCAGACCAGGTGGCAGAGATCGGACAGCCCCGAAGCGTAGCCGCAGTTTCGTCAGACCATACAACAGAACTTCTTCAAACATTATTAAAAGAAGTCGCCGAATTAAAAATAGAACGACAGTCACGTAGCGACAGGACCTTTCAACCAAGATCAAAATCACGTTCTAAATCGCGCTCAAGATACCGACAATGGGAATAACCTAAAGATGATTTATGCTTTTGTCACACAAACTTTAAGATGAAAGCGAAAAAGTATGTAGAGCCTTGCAAACACTACACCACTTTTAACCCGGAAAACTAGAAATCATATCTTCTATGGCAGTGGAAGATATGCCTTCTACAGACTGCCAAAACATTAATGCAAGTCATCGTTTAACGATTCAAGATAAAATATCAGATCAACGGTTCTGATGTCTCTATCATACCGTGTACGAAAAGACACGATAGCATTTCAGACTTAAAGTTATTTGCAGCTAATAACACTACAATCAACACATATGGAAAAACAACACTTACTGTTGATTTTAAGCTTCGCCGCGTTTTCAAATGGCAGTTTATAAAAGCGTCTGTATCCATACAACTCGGGATGTATTCATCAAACACAACACTACATCGAAACAAAAGGACCTCCAGTTTTTGAAAAACACAGACTTTTATTACCTGAAAAACTAGCTATAGTAAAGGAGGAGTTTGAGTCAATGGTGGCGTTGGGCATTTGTAGACCATCAAAAAGCCCTTGGGCATCTCCACTTCAACTGGTTAAGAAAAAGGGACTAGACAAGCTTTGACCCTGTGGTGACTACAGACGGTTGAACGGAATTACAATTGAAGACCGTTATCCAATAGCACACATTCAAAACTTTAGCCATATGTTAGCAGGTAAAACTATTTTCTCAACATTAGATCTGAAGAGAGCCTATCATAAAATACCGATACACCCTGAACATATTCCTAAGACAGCCATAACAACTCCTTTTGGTTTATTCGAGTTTGTGAGAATGAGTTTTGGACTCAAAAACGCAGCTCAATCCTTCCAGAGGTTTATTAACGAAGTGTTCTCAGGTCTAAACTTTTGTTTTGTGTACATCGATGACATACTTATTGCATCAAACAACGAGGAAGAACATAAAGAACACCTACATCTTGTATTCCAACGTCTACAAAAATATGGTTTAACTATTAATTTACAAAAAAGTATTTTTGGTGAGAAATCTGTGAAGTTCTTAGGCTACAACATATCTGAAGAAGGAACATTACCAGATAAGGATAGAGTAGCAACCATTCAAGAATGCAAACCACCCAAAACCGTTAAAGAACTTCGTAGATTCTTGGGTATGATAAATTTTTATAGAAGGTGGATTCCTGGAGCAGCAAGAAATCAAGGAATACTAAACAACTATTTAAAACAATCAACAAAGAATGACAAAAGACCAATTCAATGGACGACAGAAGCTGAGAAGGCATTTGAGACTTGCAAAAAAAAACTCGCTGACGCTACCTTTCTCACACACCCACGGGGGAACACCATACTTGCATTAACTGCAAATGCATCGGATAATGCTCTAGGAGCAGTACTAGAACAGAAGGAAGTGAATAACAACTGGGCACCAATAGCTTATTTTTCCAAACAATTATCAAAAGCTCAAAAAAACTACAGTACATATGACAGAGAATTGTTGGCCATTTATACAGCCATTAAACATTTCAAATATATGCTTGAAGGTCAATCTTTCACCATATACACAGATCATAAACCTATTGTAACAGCTTTTGAACAAAAATCATCCAAAGCTTCACCCAGACAGTTACGACATCTTGATTTTATCAGCCAATTTACAACAAACATTGAATACATAGCAGGTAAAGAAAATATTACAGCAGATTTTTTATCCAGAATTGAAGCTATAGATTTCCCTACCACAATAGACTACGATTCATTGCAAGTACATCAAGAGAATGACCCAGAGCTACAGCATCTATTAACAACATCTGGTAACACAAGGCTAATATTAAAAAATTAAAATTTGGTTCGAAAAACATTTACTGCGACATATCCACAAACAATATTCGGCCATATATGTATACCTGGTAGTTTCAGGAAAGCAGTATTTGCGGCTGTCCAATACGTTGCTCATCCGGGACAACGACAGTCAAGCAAACTAGTAGCATCGAAATACATATGGCCATCCATGCGGAAGGACTGTGCAAGGTGGGCAAAATGTTGCATTCAATGCCAAAAGGCAAAAGTGCAACGACACACAATAAGTCCTTTCCAGAAGTTTGATATACCAGCAGTCAGGTTCCGTCATGTTCATATAGACCTAATAGGACCCCTACCGCTGGTAAAAGGATACAGATATTGCCTAACATGTGTTGATAGGTGTACAAGTTGGCCCGAGGTGATCCCTTTACCAGACATGTCAACAAAAACAGTAGCTGAAGCTTTCTTCAACACATGGATATCCAGATTTGGAATACCTGATAAAATAACAATAGATCAAGGGAGACAATTCGAAAGCAATTTATTCGCAGCGTTTACCAACTTAATGGGCATTCAACGAACACGTACGACACCGTACCATCCACAGGCGAATGGAAAAATTGAACGCTTTCACAGGACACTTAAACAAACAATAATGGCTTATGAGAAGTCAGATTGGGTAAGCATTTTGCCAACTATATTATTAGGTTTAAGATGTGCACTAAAAAGAGATAATGACATAACACCAGCAGAAATGGTATATGGACAAACATTACGTTTACCTGGTGATTTTTTTGAAGAAGGAAACACTTCAGATATACTACCAGAAACACTAGTAACTCGACTGAAAGAAAAATTCAATGAATTGACACCTACATCAGCAAAATACAACTCAAACAGGAAACCATTTGTAGCACCAGAGTTAAAAACAGCAGATCATGTATTTATACAACATGACGCTGTAAGAAAACCATTACAAATGCCGTACGATGGGCCGTTCAGAGTCAATAACAGGACTGAAAAATACTTCAACATCAACATAAATGGTAATGCGAAAAACATATCAATTGACAGACTGAAGCCTGCATTCCTACCTCAAGAAGACACAATCCAACATGACCACTCCTATGAAGTGAAGGCGAAAATTAATAAATCAGTGAGCTTCAAAACATGTTCCTATTAACGTTAGAATTGTTATTATTTAAATTGTACAACAAATATTAACTTTTAAGACTGGGTAACTGAGAATAATGTATAATATTGTATTAACTATTAATTGTTATCATATTTATTGTTATGTATATTGTTTATTGTCATTTGTTATCATTTATAACCGACTCTGTTACTCGGAGGGGAGTAGTGTGGGGACTGGCAACACTGGCTGGCGGAATTTACGTCGACGCCACCATTTTTGACACACACACACTCTCTCACTTTATATTTTTCACTCATTCACTCTCGTTTTACTCTTTAAGTTTTCTATTTAATAAGTTGTATTTTAAAAAAATAATTTAATAGTACCATATAACAGTATAGAAGCGAAACTCGATCAGCTGATTTGGGTATTGGTTCCCTATGATCTGAAGTCTGAACCTACGAAAAACATGGAATTGGTTCCCGCACCAACATGATGTTAGACCCGTATATTATAAAATCGGTTCCAAGACTAAGGCGGGATACGGGACTCGGGGTCGGCACTATGGCGGGATACGGGAAGCGGGGTTTTCACGTATGCCACGCACTCTTGAAGACCGTGTTCAAGGCCGCAATCGCCTGGTTCGGCCAACGCACGGAGTTTCGTACCCCTGATAGTACGTAAGGTTGTAATATTTTTAGTACTAAAATTATAACCCGTACAATATAATAATAATAACATAATAAAATAATGAATAGATGACGTATATACGTATTTCAATAAAATAATCACAATTTAACCTTAACGACATAATATCCACAGATTAAAACAATGCATTATTGTATATCACGATTAAAGATATACTGGTTGCGCAACGAAGCGTGATAACGAGAACCCTGATGTGTCTTCAACTTTAATCGTGTTGTATATGATTGTATTAATATTTTAATAACATAAAAATTATTGATTTGAATATTTTTTAAATTTAGATGGCCCAAAGTTTTTTTGGGGGGACTATTATTCGAACTGGGGGACTAAGCCCCCTCAAGCCCCCCTAACTACGCCTATGCTGTACGGCAGTGTTTCCCTAACTGTTTGCAGTGGCGGCCCATAAATTTAATATTTATTGGATACGGCAAACCCCTGCTAAAAAAAAAAATCAACTATGCCTTAAATGAATAATTTTTTTATTTTTATTAATTTTATCTTTGAATTTTTATAAAATACAATACTTGATAATAAATACATAATAAATAAATTAAACAAATTATAAAAAAATACAAAAATACTGAAATAAGCGTAATCATAACCACGAGTTACGACGCATCAAAAAATGTCGCGACCCAATATTGGGTCCCGACCTATGGTTTGGGATACAAATATTAATTTTTGAGATTTTAATAATAATTTATTGTCTATAATAACGAATAAATATATAATAATAATTGTCACGTTAATATAATTTAGTTTAAAATCAACGACGGTGGTACGGAGGTCACAATAATATTTATAATAATATTATATTGTAATGTCGTATTTTGAAATAAAATGTATTTAAGTCTCTTTGGGGAAACCCCACATAGGTCAAGGGGAATTTCCTTCCATGCATGTCGCTGTAGAGCAGGGGACGCCAATACCAGTCGATAGCGATCGACTGGTCGATATTTAGAGGAATATTGTCCCATCTCATTGAAAACTAATTTTATAAAAACCTTGTTGATCACGTTCATAGGTAATCTTATGAATTTTAACACTTAAATAACACACATTTACACTATATACATATATATAGAAGAGTCTCGCTAGAGACTTCTTTCTGTGCGTAAGAAACACCGAGAAAAAACAGCACACAAATTACGATAGCGAGACTATATTAGTATATTACACATTAAGTTTTGTGTTTGTGCTAGGACCTCTCACTCGCACACGTTGGTTGTATGCGGAGCAGACCTTGAAGCCGATATTTGATACCGATTTTGAATACCGGTTAAATCCGTTCAAAACCCAAATCGATACCGAAACCGAAAAATTTCAAACCGGTATTCAAAACCAAAAACGAAATCAGAAAAATTAAATACCGATATCCGAAACCGAAATCAAAATCGGGAAAAATAAATACCGATATCCTAAACTGAAATCCAAATCGGGAAATATATTTTCGGTTTCAAGCCCTGATGCGGAGTGCGAGAGAGACAGAGTTAAGAACTGCAGTTTTATGATTCTCATTTTTCGTACCTATAGTTTTCAGGTATATTTACAGGTAGCAGGTATAAATGTACCTATAATGCACGATACATAAATATATATATTTATACATACGTCGGGGACTCGTCGGCCGGACAAAAACCGGTTTTTTTCCGTTTTACTTATTAATTAAAAAAATTATTAAAAATCAGGAAATTAATGAAATTAAAATGTTAAAACGTCAATATTTTCAGAAAAATGAACTCTACAAAATGGCAATCATCAATATTTTTTTAACTTTTTTACCAAAACATAAAAAAAATAATAAAAAATTAGTTATTTGTAGTACTTACCTCTGTGAGTCTTAATAAGAAAACAGAATTACGATATCTCTATTATTTCAGGAGATATCGCAATGAGTAAATCCTCACGGGACATCCTGTATAATCAATTAAAAAAAAAGGTAGTAACAAAATTTTTCATTGCCACCTATTTACGTAGTTTAACCTTCGGTCGATAAAGTGATCGTATAGCTGGAAGGAGGTACATAATAACAAACCGACTACATACTATAGCATAATCATAGAAGTTAAGGTTTTTAGAAGACCCGATATTATGTGTCTAGAACTCTAGGCGATAAAGTATATAAAGTATATAAAAATATACATATAATATTGGTACTATCGTCTCTTAAATAGTGTTATCTTATGAAGTTTAAAAATAATAAATTCCCAAAAATATTTCAGTGTTCAATATAGGTAGGTATTTTATATTATTATAGCTACATGTGAGAAATTGCAATGTCATTGTTTATATTTTAAAACATAATTGCTTTAATTCCAGCTCACTAGGTATTGACAATGAAGGTGACGTATACCTGGTTAATATATTCATGTTTATTTTTCGGTAAGTAAAATCACTGTTAATAATATAATAATAAATAGAAAATCGTGTATTAATGACATTATGATAGTACTTAATATAATATTTATAATATTTAAATATTAAATATACTCAAAAAATTTAATAAATTAATCCATCTACATTGAAGAGTTTTAAATACAATATTACAATAATAGGTATAAATAATACTGATAGACCAAAATCAATTTCAAACTGATTAGGTAATAATAATACAAGCTACTAAGTATACAAAATACAAGTACAGTTTTAATTTTCTAAGATTAAATTTTATAATTTTATAATATAATAATATAACGATTATAATTTCAGAAATAATCTTTACATTATCGCTTTATTAATCATGGAATTTTTGTTACAACAATATTAATGCTTAGGTACATACAATTACTTCGTATGACATATAGGTAATTACCAATTATTACCATAATGTGAAATAAGAAAATTATTGTAGTTGCATCAAAGTTTAGGTTAGGTGAAGAAAAATGATACCCGATAATAATAAATAACACTTTCTTTTTTTAGTTAATACATTAAATTAAGGCTAAGAGATACATTATTTTACTGAACACAATGTTCCTTTATTTGAAACAAAAAGTTATATACATTAGTAAGACTCATAAGATTCAGTGACTTCTATAGTCGTGAGAGGGGAAGGGTGGCATGGTGGGCTATTTGGCTATTAATGGTGGCTTTAAAAGGACGCTACACAGATACTAAAGGTTGTCTCATTCTTACAAATTACTTATAGCAGATTACCATTATCTCCGTTAGTTTAGAAACTAAAGTGAATCGGCCTATTATGAAAATTGATGTTAAGAACATTATCTGTGTTTGTATGTTGGTTTTTACGACAATTCAGTTTTTAAGTTAGTTATAACCATTTTGAATTTACTCTATATTATATGTACATAACTTGCTAAAAAATTTAACTATCGTAATAAGCTCTCTTACAAACACGAATAATGTTCTAATCAACAAGTTTCATAATAGATCAATTCAATCTAATTTTTAAAGTAACTGAGCTAAACATGATCTTCTGAGAATAAATTTGTTATGTTATGAACTTGTAAGACGGAATTGACAAGATATGGCTGAGTAGAGTCTTCTTAAAAACAACCAGGTTGGCTGGTTTTTGTTAAGAAATATTACCATTATCAATTTTTATATTTTTGAACATATACAATGCCTAATTTACTTTAGTAAAATTGCACGTTTATTCATAATTATTAAGTTCTAATATAATTCCTAGATAATTTGATACGTGTATGAACTGTAAACTCTAGACGCTAGTAAACTATATTTATTATAAACTCTATAAACTCACAAAATAAAAAAATGAGAAAATAAAACAACCACTCCTTGACATTTATCCATAATTACGAACAAAACTGCTGTAAATTAGTTCGTTCTTAAGATAATATATTATAGCGATTGTATTGAGTTTACAAATGTAAGTGGTAAGTAACTTGCTAGTGAAAACTTGCTTGTGGTTTCCTTATTACATTTTATGGCTGGTCTAAACTTTTGTTTCCCAACCCACTATTATTAACTGAAACACTGCCTCTACATAAACTATTCAGTATTCACAAATCCACGATATATAAAATAACAATAAATTACCTTATATTAGTACTTATATAATTATATGTTATTATTGAATTCAAAATTGAAAACCCAGTAAAAACATTGAAAATGATAGTTCACTAAACATTTTTTATGTATTTAATGTAAAAAAATTCATTATTTCAGGAACTGGAATTTTGTGTAGCGGGGATGATTCATGCTCATTGTTGGTAACTGTAGTATAAATACATATTATGTTATTATAAGTACCAAAATAATATCTAGTGGTGGTTGGGGCCTGGGGTAATTAGATCAATAAGGCCTTAATAAGTACTAATAATCAATATAATATGATAATATTTAATATTAGGTAGGTATTCTTAGTACTAACTAAACATTATGTTCAGGAATATCAAAATCCCTTCTTTTAACATTTACATTTTATATGTTGCCTGATAAATGAATGTACAACAATTTTTTATTATATTAAATGGACTGTATATTTTCTATTATTTCTGCGAGTGTGTAGCCGACAACTCGACAACAACGACTAACTTACACACATAGTAGGTATAATCGAAATATAATTTCCAATGATATTTGGTTTATCGTTTATCTATAACAATATTAGATTAGGCATGGCGTTTCCGCGGTAACATTATAAAAAATTAACTTTATCTACTATCATCTCAATTTTTTTCTATTGTTAAAAATTTGAATTTGATATTGGATTCCGAAATAACATATAACATTTCTTTATACACTCTGTAATCAAATTGTTAACTTGAATCTATTTTATATTAATCGCTTTAAGACTTAAGTAACATTAAACTCTTACGAATATTACCTTATTATTACTTAATCTTTCGTATTTGCTTATAATTGTATTGATTGTATTAAATAATAATTTGTTTCACATTTGAATAAAATTATAGAATCGCTGAGGATAATTTTTATTGTTCAAATGGACTGTGTGTCGATTGGTCGTGGGTTTGTGATGGTCGTAATGATTGTTTAGATGGTACAGACGAGATCAAAGACATGTGTGCTCGATATGAATATGGGATAAATATGACCTCAAGTACAAGATAATAGCTATACTCTGTTCAAAATAAGAACGGTAGTCGGCGGCGATGAGTTTTCGTCTCCTCGTCGGTGCGCAGAACTCGGCCGCCGATCACTGTTCTTATTTTGAGCAGAGTATATATTATGACATTTAATATTATTTATATGTTTGTATAATAACTAATATATGTCAATCTATATATATAGCTTCACATATTATATTATTTAACCTATCTATAATAATGCAGTAGATTGCGGTAGAGTGTATTCCAATCGCCATAAATATATTGAAAATGGCGAGTTTACACTTGTTGGAACGGCACCTTGGAGTGTTGGAATATATCGATTAAATAAAACAAATTTAAATTATCACTTGTCTTGTGGAGGATCAATTATCTCTCCAAATGTAGTCATTTCAGGTAAAATCCTCGTACATTGTATTTATGAAGGAATGGAAATAACCTAATTAAATAACATTTTAGCTGCTCAATGTTTTTGGCAAGATGGTATGTTATCTAATATACTATTAGTTAAGGATCGTCGAATTGTTGTTGTTATTGACGATAACGTTACTCAATTAATGGATGTAAAGTATTAATAATTCAAAGTCTACAAATAGTTTTTATTATATGTATCAATAAACTGAAACAATTGTGCAGGTAGAAATGATTTACCTGAAAGAAGGTTACTATGGAAGTACTGGGTTTCATGTTGAAGATATAGCTGTTATTGTATTATCGAGCAAAGTTTCGTTTAGTAATGGTGTTGCACCTGTTTGTATCGATTGGAATAGTATCTATAATGTAAAGAATGGAGATCAAGGAATGGTAAATTTATGTTGTACTATTTAGTTTAGTAGTTTTATCGAATACATAAAATATATGTGTAATATATATGTCTGGTTTAATTTCTAAATAGTGGTGGGTGGTTATGGTTACATTATCCTTACAAGTTAATACATTATTGGTTATAGCTTCAAACGCATAAACTAAGAATATATTCCGAAAACTAACTGCCAGTGTTGAGCTGAGATAAATATGATTTTATCTAGATAAAGATAAAGATAACTAAATTATTTATTTATCTAGATAAATTATCGGATAAATTTTCATGGCACTCTCTGTAAGCTGGTAGCAATGTAGAATAACTTAATTGTATGTTATCAAAAATAAAGATAGTTATTAGTAAATTTATCTAGATAAACTCAACACTGCTAACTGCTATCAATTTAAAATTCTAGGTAGTAAAAAACTTACAATTCTCCCAGTTAATTTTGGTCAAAATTGTAAAGTTGTGGAAATATGTCCCTTTAAGTTAATTTATGTCACAAATTTACTCTGAGCAACTTAGTTACCTCCTAAGTTACAACTTAGCTTAAAAAAAAAAACACTTTAAAATACTTTCAGCTTGAGCTCTGCAATATTAAAAATTTTCCCGTTCTAATATGAACGTTAGGTACTAATGATGTTTTTCAACAAAACATTGCCATTTTATGATGTTTTTCAACAAAACATTGCCATTTTATCTATCCCTGATACCTCGTATGAGTGCTTAAAGTATAGTTGTTTTTAAGTGGAAGGGTGGTTTACATTGGTACCCAAAATAAAAAAGTTTTGTAAAACCCCTAAAAACTATTCTAATTTTGTATTAATTATCTCAATGTTTTGAGAAAATACAGTATTGCGTTTGAGGGAGGAAAAACCATATTCTTATATAATAATACATTTTAATTATCCTAGTACCCATACTAATAATACAATTTTATATTTTATTTTCCTTATTATGTGAGTTTGTTTATTATTTAGTACAAATGAATGTAAATGTAGGTTTTGGTAATCGTACAATTATTTATAAGAGTATTACAATAGAAACATATCCATTCGAAAAAATAACCTTTCAAACACTACTTTTCAAACAAATGATTTTTCGAAGACTTGAACTCAGTGGCGCCGAGTTCAGTAAAATAAGGTACCTAGTTCAATTATTGTAGCGAAAGCTTAAAAATGTATTTACTATTTATCATTCAAAAACGAAAGAAAATATTTAAAAACCAAGCCGCTCGCTTCGCTCTCCAATTGGACATATTTATTAAATAATTTTATATTTTTTTGTTGTATCGATTTCAATCATAGTCATTGATCAGTCAGTCACTGTTCAAAAACATTTTGATTGCATGTTTGTATACAATTATAATTTATATTAATAGGTATTATTCAATAATAGGTATAAACAATTATTTTAGCTCTTATCAATTTACTATTTATGATCTATATAGAATATTATAATAGCTAGACACTTGACATTTTCAAGGCATCTTCGTATCACCATGTAAGGGTGCACTATAAGTACCTAAGAATTATCTAAAATACTCATTTCAAAAAAAGTGATCACACAAGTTTTTTTTATGAGTTTCACGATGGATTACAACTTTTTTTGTTTATAAATGGTTACTAGGTATTGGTTACGGATAGTAATATTAATAAATTAATAATATTATTAGTAAACAAATTAGTAGAAATTAATATTTTTGTGTGTATTAATAGTTGTCTTTGGTTACTCGGGGAGATGAGGTAAAATATTGAATCAAATTGTCGTATTTACATGGCCTCGATGAAAGAAACTATATCTTAAAAACAAATGTATGTTTGTATAGCTTATATATTCAAAAACTATAGGACTGATTTTGACGAAAATTTCAGAGATTATTCTTAGAGATATCATAAACGTTTTGAGAGTAATTTTAATTGCGTTAAAAATATACCAAGTGCTAAATCCAATCAGTGACTTGTGGTTATCCGTATACCTATATGTCGAATTATTTCATAAATAGTGATGTACCTACGCCAACGCCCACGCCGATTTGTTCTTGAATTGAGGTATGCTAAAACCGAGATACATCCAGTGTAAATGTTAATACATAAATATGGAAACATTATTTTAAGATTTATGATTCACAATAGTATATTGTGTAGCAAGGGCGGGAAGTAAGCTATTTCAGTCGTGTCCCTTTTTGGGATTTCCACTTTACCGCCCGGCATTATTACAGGGATTTCCACTTTACCGCCCACTGGACGGAAAAAGGACGCTTCCGAACGCTTCAACCGCTATCGAAAACCAAACTTTCGGCGCAGGTGTGGCAAAAAAAAAAACAATTAAAGTTCAATATTTCATGTTAAAATAAAGTTAATTCAAAATTAGGTTAAATGTCTGATACTACATAATAATATGTAGTACCTACTCGCAAACTTCTCTATAACCTGATTTACATCAATATCAGACTCATAGGAAATTATCATCAATTGTTTTAAATGGTCATGAGAAATTGTTGTTCTCAATCGATTTTTGAAAATATTTAATGGTTTTGTTCTAGATACTGGTATATTATAAGCGATTTAAAGAGCCGTGTATACTGTACAATGTGGGGAAAATGCTCTGTAATCAGGAATTTTGTGTTTTGAGATAATTTTAGATTCGACCAAAGATAAATAATCATACATAATTATTACACCGTCATAGAAATTCGTTTTAGGTATACGACGACACGGGCATATTAGTCACCTGCTTATAGAATGATACAATACTGTAATAATGCATTTCCTAGGTAATACGTAACTGATATAGGTAATACGTAACTGGTACATGTGTAAGTACCTAGTACCTACTTACTTTAGTAATAGTATTCATTTCCTGGATAATTTTTTACCCAGACACCCACCACCCATTTTAGGTGGTTCAAATGCACCACCTTAAGTGCGTACGCGGCACCACTGCTTGAACTCCCGAGAACACATTTTTGAACACACGAGTTTCGAACTTATGACTTTTCTTATGATAGAGCCATATTGGCTAATTGCAACTCTTAATATTGATATATTCAAGTATTCAAAACAACTCTACCATGGTGTTTAGGTAGTAGGTTCTATATCAATATAACATAGCTATCCCTGTAATGAAGTGATTGTATATTATCTGTATTTAATAATGTCGAAAAAAATGTCCCCATATCGTTAACCAATCACATGTAGGTACTAAGGTCACTCTCTTCTTTTATGGATATTAAGTTTAAATGTTTGTTACTGTTACATTCTGTTATTTCTTAAGCACAATTGTTTAAAAAGCCGAATGGTATTAATTTATGAATATATAAAAATAAAAGTAAATGTTACCATTCCCCCCGAAAACTTAACGGTTGTCCACCTTATGCAACCATTACCCAACAATGGTAATAATATGTTTAATGTGTGTCTTATGTATAAAATATCTCTTGTTTCAGAAACAAATATAGATGCTCAAAATATTGGAGGAGGCATATCCTTTTTACACTTTAATTCTTATTATTTAACCGGGATACTGAGTGTCGATAGTGATGGAATATCCAGAACAAACAATTCAATCCTAGGTTTTACAGATATTAATTACCATGTTAATTGGATTCGTGATGTTTTAAATAAACATGTACGTATTTATATTTCGGTATTTTTGGTATAAATTTAAAATTAAAATGTATTATGGTGGCTTGATTTTTTTAATGACATTAAAACTAAGATATTTTAGAGTGAATATATATATTTAACATTTAATATTTTGACAGTTCACAGGGAAATCGTGCGTTTTACCAACCGTCGAAGGAGTCATATATTCTTATGAAGGTTCTGATGATATCTTATCTCACGGGACATTAATTAATCGTAAACTTACTGTTATTGAGAATTGTGAAGTTGGATATCATAAGGCTTATACATACAGCTTTAGGTATTGCCTAGGAAGAGGAAGATGGTTATTCAATTTTGAGAAATTGTGTTTCAGTTAGTATTGTATAGTTATTCGAATGTTGTAATAATTCCTTAGTTATTTATATATTAAAAGTCCAAAGTGTGGTTATGATTGATTATAATTTATTTACGTTTATAGAAATGTGCCCACCTCTAGAATCAGAAAGTTTGGATATTAAATGTAGTCATAATGGTAAGTATGCTAATTGTTCAAATTTATCAATACCCGATACAATAGCAACACCATCATGTAAGCCAACATATATTTCACCACGTGGACAAGATGAGGTGCCATTTGAATTACATTGTCAGTCTAATGGAACGTGGAATAAGCAACTATATAGTTGCAATCCATGTAATTATATTTTTTGTTATTTAAACATAAGTCTCTAAATTATACATATTTTACCAATTTACTGTATCCAAATACTTTTATTTGCATTATAAATTATATAATTAAGAAGTACAAATAACCATAAGGTTAGGCATAATTGTTTGGTGTACATTTTCAAACAGTCATTATTATGTCTATTCCATAGGTTTTAATACTTATTAATCATTATAGTTTATATTTGTATTTATATTCATAATATATTATTTTAGATTGTGGTAGAGCTTATAATATCCAAAACCAAGTACTGATCGAAAACGGTGATAAAGCACTTGTTGGAACAGCACCTTGGAATGTTGGAATATATAAATTTAAAAAAATAGATACCATTTATGACTTGATGTGTGGAGGATCATTAATTGCTCAAAATTTAGTCATATCAGGTAAAAAGTTTGTAAAATGTATTTAAGAAAAAATGAAAATTAATGGAATAACATTTTTAGCAGCTCACTGTTTTTGGAAAATAGGTATGTTATCTAATAGTAGAATAATAAATGATGGTCTATACAAAATTGCTGTTGGAAAATATGATAGAAATTTTTCAGTAATAGACAATGACTTTACTCAAATAATGAATGTAAGTATTATTAATAATTCAAAAGTCTAAAAATAATTGGTTTGATAAAATATAATATTAACTATAACAATTTAATAGGTGGAAATTGTTTACCCGAAAGAAGGTTATAATGGACCTACTGGGTTTCATGCTGATGATATAGCTATTATTGTGTTACAAAACAGAGTTTCTTTTAGTAATGGTGTAGCACCTGTTTGTATTGATTGGAATGGAAATTACAATGTTAGCAATGGAGTTCAAGGAAAGGTTGGTTTGTAGTATTATTTAAATAGTTAAATTGTGATTTAATTACAGTTACAGATAATTACAATACATAACTAAAAAAAGGTAGGCAAGTGAATATCATTTTACTTTACAGTAGGCTTAAAGTGGGTTACTGTAATGGATGGTTTTAAATTTTAATTATTTAATATCATTGTATATGAAAAATTATTCTGAGTGAAAACGGTCTGCCAGTTATCCTATTTTATAATAATATTTTTAAATTACAACAAAATAATTGAGATCGTTACATATTTTTCTTTTAAATATCTAACTTCTTCCAAATTTGTACTCAATATAACAATAAAAAAAAATTATATTATATATTGTGTATGATTTTATGGTGGCAATATGAAATACTAGGCGACTGTGTTTTTTTTGTCCCCCTAACAATAGGTATAACTTTTCCAGAAATGTCCCACTCCCAAAAATCATGCGCAAAGTGAACTTGCAACCTACCTTTAGTACGAAGGTACACATTTTTGTTTGTTTGTTTTACATTTTCATCCTTAAACGATTCATATCACGTTATTTTTATTATACTAAGTTATATAAGTTTACTGTTTAGTCTTATATAAACCATGATGTTATTATATGTATCTTTGTACCTATTTACATTCTATGTATTATGCTATTTCATAAAAAGCCGACTGGCGTTAATTCTAAAAAAAATAAACTAAATAAATCGATTATTTTATCAAAAACTGGTTTTGCCTAAAAATCCCCGTTTTTCCATATTTTTTTTGTTTTGTTTTTCCAATGAAAGCTGTTGTGAATTTTCCAAAATTAACTTTCAAAATACCAACTAGATTCGATTTTCCATCAGACAAGATTAATTGTACATTAAAAAACGGTTTTATACTTTTACAGATCGTTAGTTGGGGAAAGACGAAAACAGGCATTTCAAGTCCTATTTTGTTAGAGGCATCTTTACCATACATGGACCGTAGTTCTTGCCGGAATATGTATACTAACGGATTTGAAGCATATGTAACTGATGATAAATTTTGTGCCGGTTCTGCATTGGGTAATAAAATATTTAAACATTAATACCATGAAACCATCGGTTTAACTTAAATTTATTAACACTGAATAGTGAAGATAGACACTTTTAAAAATTAAGATTAACTTAATTTGTATTAAATGAATGAATCACATTACAATAATTATTGTAATTAGCTTAAAGTGTATTCCTATAAATCAAGCAAACAGACTATATACAACATAGCGAGCGTACGTTGGGCGCCACTTTGTTGTAACATAACCTAAAACTATAAATCATTGACTTTGTACTTTACAAATTAATGATCCATAATACTCGTAATATACTAATATCTAAAATTCTAAAAGGTAATAAGGCTGGAAATGTAGAATTTTGGTGAGGTACAACTGCATAATATTACCGTTTTAGTAAATAGTAAAATTATTGTCGAAGGGGACGATGTTTCTTGAGGCTTTTTACTGAGAGACTGGCTCTCATGTTGATTTTGTCTGATCCTTATATAGGACGAATTTTGAGTAAGCCCTTCCTTTGTCGATGTGTATTGGTTGGACGTAACTTTAGGGTACCTACGCCATACGCGAATCACTACCTATGCGTTTATGATTTTATATTGTACGGTAAGTATCGCCAGTATAGATAATATGTGTCGTTTTGCAGAGCGTCCGATCGAAAATCGAAATGGTGTATTCTTCATGTGTTGCATGTGTGCGTGTGCATATAAGGAATATGTGTGACGTATGTATATAACTTATGCACAACCAGTATACTATGGAAATATTTTGTATTACACTATGTTAGTGACTTACATGCTAAAATAAACTATATTATCCATTTATCATTATAATATTGTGCCGTATGCTACGTATTTGTTATATTATGATGTTAAGGGTCGTCTATAATATACGAAAATACTAAGTGGCTGATGCGGTTTTAATATACAATTTTTTGAAATTAGTTTATTGAGTGATTCATAAAATTTGATAATCACACTGTATGCTTTTAATTCGAAATCATATAATAAATTATGGTTTGAAATGCATTGATTTATCGGCTAACAGTTACTTTTTTCACAATGTCCACTGATGGAGTGTGACCAGTGTGAATGTGTTGTACAAGACATCATTAAATATTATAGTTACAAACCACATCTGCAGCTACATGTTATAGGTACCTACTGTATCGCATATCCTTGTAATACAGTATTTGTTCATAATTTTTAATTAATGTGGTAAAACTATATTGCAACTACTATCCAATAACAGTCGTATGATTTAGGTATTTATATATTTTTTTTGTTTCAGGACAAGAAGTGGACAAGGGAAGTGGTGCAGGTCTATGCTTTTTACACTCTAATTTTTATTATTTAACCGGAGTAGCGAGTATAAAGGATCCAAGTACAAATAATTCAATCGCAGCTTATACAGACGTTAAGTACCACATTCAATGGATTCGTGGACTGTATAACAAACATAACTATATATAATATAAGATCTATTAAATATTAAAATTTTTTATGACAATTGTGAATGAAATCCATATTTGGATAAATAGGATTTACTTATATTTACTTACATATTTACTTTCTTATGTTATGATTATCATAGTTAGTGATAATAAATAACCTCAAATGTTATATGTATTAATGATATTGTTTCAATAAAGTTTAGTCCTTATTCTGCAACGCTTGTGTTCACATGTTCTTATAATGTATTAAGAAATACACAACATTGGCGACGAAGATGATGAAAACCACGTGCGTGTGGGCAATAAGTTAAAGTGTTAAACCAGTTACAGTTAAAGTAACAATGTTAGGGCAAGTAGAATCGTATGTGCCTGGTGATGATTTTTGTGAATACGCGGAACGTTTAGAACAATATTTTGTTTTAAATGATGTTAAAGTGGATAAAAAAGTTGCATTTTTGTTAACATTCATCGGTCAAGAAACGTATTCAATATTGAAAAAACTATTATTTCCGGGTGATCCAGTAAAGAAAACGTTCGAGCAGCTGATAGCAGTTTTGAAAAGTCATTTTACTCCTGAAGTAAATGAAATATCTGAACGTTATAAGTTTTTCAAGGAAGATCAGAAGTCGGGTCAACCGATGTCAGAATATATAGTAGAATTAAAAGCAAAAGCGCAAAAATGTAAGTTCGAAACCTTTTTGAATCAAGCGTTACGCGATCGTTTAGTATTTGGAGTATGTGATAATAAATTACGTGCCATACTGTTGAAAGAGTCAACATTGACGTTTGAATCAGCTTGTACCATAGCTATAAACTGGGAATTATCTGAAAAAGATGTAAAAGGTCAGAGTATGAATCAGTTTACAGTGCGACCAAAAAGCAGTAATTTTCATACAAACCGGTCAAAAAGTGTCGATAAAAGGGACGGCAAATGTACTAGATGTGGTGGATCACATTTTAGTAAGGAATAGTGTCCAGTTAGAAATTGGAAGTGCAGACATTGTGACAAAGTAGGGCATATTGCAAAGTATTGTTTCTACAGTAAAATGAATCAGAGCAAGCCCAGAGCCAGGAGTTCAAGTAGAAGCAAATTTAGTAAACAGAAGTATCGAAGTAGTGATTCGGTATCATCAGAAAAAAACAATGTACATGAGTTATCAGAAGAATTGGATCAGATGCAGTGTTATGTGGAGTCAAAAATGGAAGACAGAATAAATTCAGTGCACCAGTCAGGCAGTCCATTGCTAGTCACGGTGATAGTTCAGGATAATGAAGTAGAAATGGAAGTGGATTCGGGCGCATGTGCATCATTAATAAGTGAAGATATGTATTTAAAAATGTTTTCTTTTGTACCATTAATTGATGTTGTAGTTAAATTTGTATCAGTTACAGGAGAAAATGTTAAGTTATCGGGAAAACTGTTGGTTAACGTGAGGCTGCCCGGTGACATTGAAAGCAAAACTGTTCGTTTAGAATTATTTGTCATAAAAAGTAAAAAACCGTGTGTACCACTCTTGGGTCGAGCTTGGTTGGATAGACTATACCCAAGTTGGAGAAATGTTCTTCAGTTAAATCAAGTCTCAAAAAGTAGTAATATTTTGGATACATTAGCTGTTAAATACCCAAATATCATTCCTAAGTCATCAAATCAGGTAATAAAAAATTATAAAGCTGAAATAGTGTTAAAGGATAATGTTAAACCAATTTTCCATAAAGCTTATACAGTACCATTTAAATTGAGAGAAAAGGTAAATGTAGAAATTGATAGATTAGTGAATGAAGGTATTTTAGAACCAGTTAAATTCAGTGAATGGGCTAGTCCTATAGTAATTGTACCTAAAAGTAATGGAAGTATAAGAATATGTGTGGATTGTAAGGTGACGATTAATAAATTTATACAAACACAGCATTACCCTTTACCTAATATTGAGGATTTGTTTGCAAGTATGGCAAGTTGTGCAGTTTTTTGTGTGTTAGATTTGTCTGGAGCTTATCAACAATTAGAGTTAGCTTCAAGTTCTAAAGAATATTTGACAATAAATACTTTAAAAGGTTTATTTAGATTTACAAGATTAACATTCGGTGTAGCTAGTGCACCAGCTATATTTCAGTCTACCATGGATCAGATATTGTTGGGCTTGGAAAATGTGTTTTGTTATTTAGATGATATATTAATAGGTGAAAAAACAGTTGAAAAGTGTAGACAAAAGTTAGATTTGGTTTTAGATAGATTAAATAATTTAAATGTTTCTATTAATGTGGATAAATGTAAGTTTTTTGAAAAGGAAGTTGATTATTTAGGACATACGTTGTCAGATAAAGGTATTCGTCCACAAATAAAGAAATTGGAAGCAATTAGAGAGGCTAGGGCACCAAATAATGTGACCGAATTGCAAGCTTATTTAGGATTATTAAATTATTATGGAAAATTTATTCCTAATATCAGTAGTGAATTACATGATTTATATAAACTACTAAGGAAAGATGTTAAATTTGTGTGGAGCGATAAGTGTCAGGAAGTTTTTGAAAAGAGTAAAACTTTGTTGTTACAAAATCAAGTATTAGAAATTTATGATCAAAAAAAGCCAATAGTAGTATGTGCAGATGGTTCACCATATGGTGTTGGAGCAATTTTATCTCAAGTAGTAGATGGAGTAGAAAAACCAGTATTATTTGCATCAAGTTCATTATCTCCAGCAGAACAAAAATATTCTCAGTTACACAGAGAAGCGTTGGCAATAGTGTTTGCATTAAAAAAATTTCATAAATATATATATGGTAACAAATTCACATTATGTTCAGATGCTCAAGCGTTAAGAGAAATATTTAGTCCACAGAAAGGTATAGCAGTGGTTGCAGCGTCCAGGTTACAGAGATGGGCTGTGTTGTTATCTATGTATGAGTATGAATTTCAGTATATGCCAAGTAAACAAATGGTTCATGTTGATGCGTTAAGTAGATTACCATTAAATACGGGTACTGAAATAGAAGATGATGTTATTAGTAGATTATGTATAACCAATGAATTTAGGTTAAGTACTGCAGATGTAGTAGAAGCGTTAAAAAAAGATAAAATAGTATTTAAAGTTTATAACTATGTATTACGAGGATGGCCTAGAAAAGTAGAAAGTGAGATTGAGTATTATTTTAAGTTAAAAGATAATTTAAGTACACAGGATGATTGCTTATTTTTTGGGGATAGGATTGTAGTTCCAGAGGTATTAAAAAAGAACATTTTGAAGATACTGCATAAAGATCATGAGGGTATAGTAAGAATGAAAATGGCAGCAAGAAGTGTATTATGGTGGAAAAATATGAATACAGATATAGAAAAATTTAGTAAAGGATGTGAAATATGTGATCAGACTTCTAATGTGAGTAAAGAGAAAGTTATATCAAAGTGGCCTATGGTAGTTAAGCCGTGGGAAAGAGTGCATGTTGATTTCTTTCATTTGGAAGGCAATACGTTTTTGGTTGTGATTGACGCATATAGCAAATATATAGTAGTGAAACTGTTAAAAAAAACAAATTGTGAATCGTTAATCAGGGTGTTGCAGGAAGTGTTTGCGTTTTTTGGGTTACCTGAAGAGATAGTATCAGACAATGGTCCTCCTTTTGGTTCATGGTTATTTAACAGCTATGGAAATCAAAGTAATATTAAAATAACAAAAACACCTCCATTTCATAGTCAGTCCAACGGCTTGGCTGAGAGAGCGGTTCAAACTGTTAAAAAGTATTTTAAAAAGTATATCTTAGATAGAGAGTTAAATAATTTGACTGTTAAGGAAAAAGTAGTACGGTTCATTACAGTATATAATACTACGCCTTCAACAGTTACAGCACAGTCACCGGCTGATCGTATGTTTTCTTATAAGTTAAGGTCTATATTGTCATCAATAAATCCAAAAAGTAAAGTTACAGTAAAAGAAAAAAAGAAATTAAGTTTTAATCTTAAAAATAATAAGTATTATGAGGATGAGAACAGTGAAAATTATTTTAAAAAAAATGAGAAAGTATTATATAGGAATCATTTTAAAGATTATTGTAAATGGTTACCAGCTACAGTAGTTAAACAGTATACCAAATATTTATTTGTAATTGACTTAAATAAGAGTACTAGAATAGTTCATAAGAACCAGTTACGGTATCCTAGAAATATTGATAAGGATCATAGTTATTATACATTACCAAAAAGTAATGAGTTACATACAGAAAGTAAAGAGAGTGTAGTTGTGCGTCGTTCGGAGAGAGACAGGAAGCCTACAAAAAGATATGGTTTTGATAATTAACTATTGCTATGTTTTTATAATATATTAATTTATTTAATTTAATTGTTTTTATTATATTATTGTATATTACTTATTTTTGTTAATATTAAGTTGTACTATTTACTATTAAATAAACTATTATTTTTTATTGTTTAATTTAAAAAAAAATAATATATTTGTATTTAAAAAGAGGATGATGTTATGATTATCATAGTTAGTGATAATAAATAACCTCAAATGTTATATGTATTAATGATATTGTTTCAATAAAGTTTAGTCCTTATTCTGCAACGCTTGTGTTCACATGTTCTTATAATGTATTAAGAAATACACAACATCTTATATGTAACAATTTTTGACAGATCGAACAATTATTGTTAATTTAAATTAAATATAATAAGTACGTATGTCATAATAAATTAGCGTAGTACCTAAACATTATAATTATTATGTATATAATGAAACTGATTACTGATTAAATCAGAGTTCTAACATTTTAAATTAATACTGTTGTATTAAATGCTATGGTGCTTTATCCATGTATGTTTTTTGTCAAACTAGTATAAGTATTTAATTATTCTATACTGATTGCCCTCGGCGTGTATTTCAAATAAAATAAATAAAAACAATAAATAAATATAAATAATTAATACATATTAAATTCGAACAGTTTTTAGCATATACCAATTTTGCCTTGTGTATTTATTGTTTCATAATTATTACTAAATAGTTATTTGTTTATTTGTCATATGTTCTTATGGATGCCATTTTGATTGGCTGCATGAGTTCTAGTGATTTGTCCTACGATTTATTTCGGACTTTATACATTTTTTTCCTGGCCCATATCCCATTGTGATAGGTTTGTTCTCATGCTGTGTGATTTGGCCAAGCTGTTTTTAATGTCTTATTCCTATTGTTGTTTGTCCATATTATAAAATAGACACACCTCATCAACGTTCACCAGTTCCCGGTCCTCAGGTTTACGATCTCTAATGTAGTGTTGCTGATTACTTTGATATTTTTGAACAGCTCTTCGAATAGGTAAAAAAATTTCTTTATCACATTATTATTTGTGTTTGACCGAAGGTGGTTCTTTGTTAAAAACTTTTTGTCCCACCATGTATTCGATACTTTTTTTTTGTTTTTTCTCTCATTTGTTGGATTTTCATTTTATAGATTTAATTGATAAAAAGATTAATACAGTTTTAATAGATCAAATGAGATACTAATAAAATAACCCAAACCACTGGCTTAACTAGATTGTCTATATATTTCATCGGGTGATATGAATACATATTATAATGTATTATAAAATAAAAATATCATTTGAGATAGGTACAAGTCACAAGATACATCTAAAAAGGGTCTTATACAAACGTTGAGATAAAAAAATACGTAAAAAAATATTGGTACTTAAATTATTTAAATTTTTTTTAAATAGATACACAAATCTATACAACATACTTTAAGACTTATGATATGCGTGTCTGATGCCAGTTATGTTAACTTAAGTTGGATGAGAAAGAGATGTTCATCGGTGATACATTCAATGGTGGTTTGTTGAAAAAAATTTTTAATGGAAATTCGAAATACTGACCTAATAACTGACATGACAAGGAGAACAGTAAACGTTGTTTAAAATTATGTTATGTTTTAAGATCAAAGAATTACGAAATTCTAAATAATATATACCTTTGGTAAAAATACCATCCCAATTATTCTTTAATCATGATATGATATATTATTGTAATTGAATAGAATAATTTTAAATTTTTATACAATTAACTATTAAATACATTTTTTGTTCGATATGGTGGATAATGAGGATAATGGAGATCATTATTGTGCTGTTGTTACTGTATAAATGGAGTATAATTTGATTCCAAACTTGTATAAACAGAAGACACCACTTATTAATAGTGATAAATAAACTATCAATGTAAAATTATTACAGTACATTCATTTATGTATACAAAAATTAGTTCACAATGTTTTTATGTTTTTGTATATATGTATCTAAATAATCTATTATATGGATAACCAGTATTTTCAGTCTTAGATGTACCTATTTGACGTAGACGCGTATAGTACCTAGTAGGATCTATATAATTAATATTAAAACGAGTTAGAAACTTTTGTTCATGGCCACCTATTTACGTAGTTAGTCGTCAGGTCGATAATGTGATCAAATATAGCCAAGGGTCCATCTTTGAAAATCGTGGGGGAGGAGGACACTAATTTTTTCAATAATATTGACCTTTCTGGTGACCTTTTAATTGCTCTATGTATCTAAGTTTACGTTGCATATGACTGTATTCTATAGTGTTGTTATGTTAAAACAACGTTTTATTAAACTTGTTTTTAACATGTTCTGTAAATTGTTTAAAACTAATGAAATTTATGTTTAACACAGTGAAAAATCTCTGTGAGTATATTCATACAATAGTATTTATGTACTTATCATAACTATATATTTATTTATAAATTAAATAAGAGTAGGTAGTTCAATTTCTTATGAATTGTAAAATATATAACATAAATGCACATAGTAAATTATATTATACTTATTTTTTAAGTTTAATATCTATGATGATAATATATCTGTTGTTCAAATCATTATATTAATATTCCTAATAAGTGATATTATGGCTGGATAAAATTAATTTCTGTGATTATAGAACAAAATTGTATTAACGGACACTATGATTATCAATTTTTTTATTCAATGTATCAATTATAATATATTATGTATAAATGTATAATAGAAACGGAAAAGCCAGGGGGGACATGTCCTTCTCCCCCCCCCCCATGAACGCCCTTGAATATAGCTGCTAGTAGGTTCATAATATCGAACTGACTACATACTATAGCATCGTGAGGTAGTGTAGATATTTGGATGACTAGATATTATGTTGTGTTGTTATAATCGTATATTTCATGTAGTTAACTTATGAAGTTAAAAATGAATTAATCCAATACAGTTACTGTCGGTATTTAATATAATATATTTTATTTTATTATAGTATATTTCGGTATACCTCATGACGTAAGAACATGTTTAGTAAAATATTGTTTAGTGTATAGTGGCGTTAATTTTGTATACCTTATGTTTGAACATTTATTATTTATATATTTTTAAATTTATTTGCTTTAATTTCAGCTCACAATTGACAATGAAGGCGAAGTATTCCTGGTTAATATATTCTTGCTTAATTTTCAGTAAGTAAAAACAATATAATAATAAGTAGAAAATCATGGTATAAAGACATTATGTTAGCATATACTATTAAATCAACCAAAAAAAGGTGCTCTGCTGTACAGTAGGTTACAAGTGGGTCACTGTATAATGGATAGTATTAAATTTGAATTTAATGATATAATATCATTGTATAAGAAAAACGATTTTGAGCGGAGACGGTATGCCAGTCTAGGTATAAGACATATTATATACTTATCTATCGTATTAAAAATAATTTACCTAAAATAGGTACCTATAATAAATTCCAAATTAATCACATCACAATATCCATTAGGTACTGATAATGCGTTATACGTGAACAACAAACCCTGATACTATCATAGTCCATACTCCATAGATATATAATAGTGTACTTTAGAAGTTTCAAGTACCCACGAATAGTATGTGTCTATGTATTTTTAATATTTTTCAACTGATATTGTAACAATATATCAGGAGCCTTGTATCAAATGTTTACACTTTTTGGCCCACCAGATAAAACTTTATTGATATTTATAGAATAAAAAACTAAAAAAATTGGAAACTGAAAATGTCCGTAAACAGCTCAAAAAGAGTCAAAATATTTTCAAAATTGTATGGTGTATAGAAAATGCTAATATAAATATTCAGTGAAATTTTCATGTATCTACAGTTATTTGTTTTTGAATTAGGTACAACAAAATAAGGAAATCGCTACATGAGAAATCGGGTGAATATTCAATGGTGTAAAAATTTGAATTTCAAACGCTCATAAAAATTTAATTTGACTTTCTTATACAAATTTTTTGTTTGATAAAGGTAGATAATCTTATAAGGAATCTTGTATTACATTTTAAAACCTTAGATTTAAAAATGAAAATTTTTACGAATTCTCAACTCAAAATAATTTACTAATTTTCGTGATTTTTCCATATTTTGTAAATTTTTTGACTTTAAATGCTTATAAAAAAAAACTGTGACTAAGGATTTTTAATATTTTTCAAATGCCATTGTAACAATATAGAAGGGGACCCTTGTATTAAATTTTCAAGCTTTCTTAATCAACAAATAAAATTTTATTGATATTTTTAGAAAAAAAAACTAAAAAAAAATGGAAAATGAAAATGTGCCTAAACAGTTCAAAATAAATCAAAACATTTTGAAAATGTTATCGTGTATAGAAAATGCTAATACAAACGTTCAGTCAAAATGTCATGTACCTACGGTCATTTGTTTAAGAGTTGCACCAAAAACCAAAATCGATTTTTTCGAAAACAGATTTTAGTGTAAAAATTCCCGTTTTTCTTTAATTTTTCTTTTGTTTTTCACACTGCTTTTGAAAACTACTGGTAAATTTTCACTTTTGACCCCCCAAAGTACCAACTAGATTCACTTTCCTATCAGAAAAGCTGCTGTTAAAGAAAACCCAAGCACTTTTACTGTCCTAAAACGTCATGACAGACACTAAAAAAAAAAAAAAAACACACATCATTGTAAAATCAATACATTCATCGTTTCACTCAGAATTTCAAATGTAATACATGTATCTATCTAATGTGAAGAGTTATTAATACAAGTTTACAATATACTATGTATCAGTAATTTTTCGAAAACAATAATACTGATAAAACATTTATTTTAATTTCAATAACAATATTTTTTGAATTTATTAATTAAAATTAAACTTACAATACAAATGTTAGAGTATGTGTTTCCGATAGTTATGTTTTATTGTTTTATATAATATTATTATTATTAAAATAAAAGCTGTCTGTTAGTTTAAAACAAAGATTCTTTGACATCTACGATTGTGAAATTTTTTCTGTTTTTTCCCTGCAAGTATTGGTACCATTCTTTTTTATATTCTTATAGCCGACCCGCCACAGCTTCGCCCGTGATTGGTTATTTATTTTGTTTTCGGACGATGATAATATGATATGTATAATTTTTTATTTTATTTTTATTTTTGCGTTTAATGTGATCGGCCAGTAAATATAAAAAAACGGTTAATGAAAATGTGCTGAAATGTTGCTAGCGTTATTAATGATAAACATAATATTTTTATAGCAGAACCCGTGCACTACCCTTAAAAAAACGCAAATCTTACAAAAAATTATGATTGTTCAACTATTTTTGGGTGTAACTTGCTGCAGCCTGCAGTAAGTACAACTCAGCCACTCCCGTAGACAATCCGACTACGTCGGATCGAGGTCAAAGGGTAGCTCTTTCACAAATAACCCTGGTAGGCAATTTTCAATAATTAGATTTGATGCGAGCTTGTACCTGATCTGTCCAGAAAACCAATGGAAACCGATAGTAAATAAACACTAATTAATTCTATTGACTACTGTAACCAATGGGAACTATTAATAAATAAAAATAAAAATGTTCGATGTGAACTTCAATGTCCCTGTTTGAACACCTCTTTAAAATGCGAATTTTTTCAAATCCTTTCTTATTGCACGGTGTAAGTATTAAAAGAACCACTAGTGAATCAAGAGGAAGGTTAAAAATATTTTATATTCACAATTGGACCAGGTAGGTCCAAAATGAGGAAGTGCAAAAACAGGAATTATGAGATTTACGATGGAAATTTTTGTTTATAAATGGTTGCTATTGGTTATAGGTGAAATAATTAGTAGAAATAATTATTTATTATTTTGTTGGTTGCCATTGGTTATCGGGCAGATCAGGTACAAGCATGCATCAAATCGAATTTTCTCACATTGCCTACAAAGGTGGCTGAGTTGCATTTACAGTCGCTCATCGTTGTCTACATGATAATATGCTGTCGCACATTGTCCGCGATCCGACATAGTCGGATTGCCTACCAGGATATCTGAGTTGTACTTACTGCAACGGGTTACACCCAAAAGTAGTTGAAAAATCACAATTTTTTTTAAGAGTTGTCATTTTTTACGGGCAAAAAATTGCGCGGGTTCAGCTTGGTAATAGTAATATCAACTAGGTAGCTATAGGTGCCGATACTTATATGACCAATAAAAAAAAAGATTATTTTTGCCTGGTGCAGAAAAATTATAGTCAGGTGAACTGGTAAAAATACAATCTTGATATATTTTAGGTATGCATAAGCATACCTTGCAACATATCAAATGAGTGCCGAGTTGGCTCCTGTTTTCCATTCATATGCCTTTAAAAGCGAACTGATGTCTGATACACTGATTGTTTGGTGAGAAATGTTACTATTTCTATTTTTATAATTTAGAAGAAATTTAATACAATTGTATCTATAGGTACTGGGAATTATCATTACAATAAAAATTAATAGCTATTTACAGTTATTAAGTTCAAATATAATGTGTTGGAAAGTAAATAAAATGTTTTGCGATACCTAGTATAATATATCAACCGACAAAATTAAAATTCTGAAAATAAACTAACACTCCTTAATATTCAGCAGTCATTACAAACAGAAAAGTTACAATTGAATTTTTTCTCATAATAAAATACATAATATATAAAATAGCGATTGAATTGAGACAACAACTTTATTGTAAGTGGAAATTATAGTTTGCAGAGAGTGAAATGAGTGGTTTTTTTGGCTGGTCAAAACTATTGTTCTCCCAGCCCACTATTATTAAATTGAATATTGTCATCGTACATATTACACATGAATGCACAATATATAAAATTATATGATCTATTAAATTTAAACTACAAATGCTGATTAAAACAGTACATAATAATATTAATTAAATATTGTTTACGTATTTAATACATAAGGATTCATTATTTCAGTATCCGGCAATTTGTGTGACAGAAACCTCGAAAGACGACCAGCTGTATCATCGTGCTCAGTGTTGGTGACACTATTATATATAATTTATGAATAAATATTATTTAATTTTTAGTGGTGGACATATATTAGTGATTGGGTAATAAGGGGCTTAGAGCCCTAAAGGCTTGATAATTAATTATCATGAAACAATATTCACGATCTATATTCATAGTGGCTCATACTACTATATTAGGTATTCTTAGTACCTAGTTAGTACTAATTACATATCTCCTGACTTTCTCCCTATAGGCATAAGCGCAAATTGGGGAGGGGCTTTAGGGGCTTACCCCCCAACATCTAGGACATACAATTTTAAAATGCTATATTGCAAGGGTCTGCTTGCTTTTAATATATTCAACACCACAAGTCAAAAGTTGAAATTGTGCCTATGCCCACAGTGCTTTGTTATAAATGTATGGAAAAAATAAATCACGGGACAAAGCCCCTCCGAGATTAGGAGAATTAAAAAACCCTTTTTTACATTATTATTTTGTAAGAACTAATTTTATTTACTATCTTCTTATTTTTTTCTTGTGTTAAACTTTTCAATACGCATAGGACAATGGATTCCGACATGCTATATAAGATTCAATTATAATATTATCCCTCATCTGGAATCGAATTGCTTAATATTATTTTAAATTAATTATCTTATGTTATAGGTATACAAATTGCAAACTTACGAATACCTTATTTTTTTTATTTAAATATTTTGTTCATACTTGCTTATCATTGTATAAATTAATTGTATTAAATAATAATTTGTTGAACATTTGAATACAATTATAGAAACACTGATGATAAGTTTCATTGTTCAAATGGACGGTGCATCGAATGGTCGTGGGTTTGTGATGGTCGTAAGGATTGTCCAGATGGTTCAGACGAGACCAAAGAGCTGTGTGCTCGATATGACTATGGATACACACATTTTTTCAAAAGTAAAATATATATATATATTTGTGTCAAAATATAATAGATGCCAGAGTTAGGCATATTTATAAATATAGATAATCCAATATTACATTTAATGTATCTAATATTGATTTAGATTGCGGTTTAGCGAATTTCAAGGAAGATATATTGGTATTGGTCAATGGGAAACAAAAACTTTTTGCAACGCCATCTTGGTTTGTTGAGATATATAAAAGAAACCCTAAAAATATTAATGTGTATAACTTGTTGTGTGGAGGATCAATTATTGCTTCAAATGTAGTAATTTCTGGTAAAATCCTTGAACAATCCATTTAAGAAGGAATAATAATTAATTAAATAACTTTTTAGCGGCAAGTTGTTTTTGGACAAAAGATATGTTATCTAAGCAAATATCAATAAACGATGATCTATACAAAATTATTGTTCCAAATAATTACAATAACATTGGTCACAAAATGCATGTAAGTTATTAGTAATTGAATGTGTACAAATAATTTGTATGATACATATAATATAAATTAAAACAATTTTAAAGGTGGAAACGATTTACTTGAAAGAAGATTATAATGATATTGATGGGTTATATGCTGAAGATATTGCTGTTATTGTGCTGACGGAAAAACTTTCGTTTAGTAATGGCGTTTTCCCTGTTTGTATCGATTGGTATAATAAGTATGATGTAAAGAATGGAGATGAAGGAACGGTAAATATGTTGTATTGTATAGCTTAATAGTCTTATTAAATACATAAATTAACATAATTTGAAATTCTGATTAATTTCTAAAAATGTTTGGGTGGTTATGGTTAAGTTATCCACACGACCACACATTTTGGTGATAGCTTCAAATCGATGAACTAAGAATAAATTCCGTAAACCATATCAAATCATACAATTCGCCTAGTTCGTTTTGGTAAACATTTTGAAGTTGAATGAATATAGCAGCCCTAAGTTTATTTACGTCTCAACTTTACTCTGAGGAACGTAGGTACAAGTTTAAAAAAATAACTTTAAAATACTTTCAGATTGAGCTTTGGAATATTAAACATTTGTCTAATATGAACAAAATGAACTACATTGCCTCTCTGCACATGCTTAATACCTCGTTTGAATTTTGAAAATATAATAAATTGTTGTCATTGAAAGTACTACATTAGTGTTTACATTGGCATCCAAAATAAAAAAAGTTTTGTTAATTCCCAAATTACTATTCTAATTTCATATTCGATCCATCTCGCTATATATATCAAACAAATCAAATCAAATCTTCAAAATTAAAAATTTTGATTGGTCAGACTTTATTTAAAAATACAATTGAATTCATTACCGATACTAACATAAAATATTAATATTATACTTTTATTATAATTGTATATGATAACACTTTTTCATACTTTTAAAGGTTGTTGTTCATGCCTCAGAAATGGAAAATGACGAAAAAGTTTCAATAGGAACTGTTGTTCTATATATTGATTCTAGTACTTGTCACAATAAGTATTTACCAGACGATTTTCATCATTTTGTAACTTCTGACAAGTTTTGTGCCGAAACTGAATTGGGTAATACAAATTTAGATTCTGATCGCGGCGTTGAAAGTATTGATTTTACAGTGATAGGTAGTTGTTGTTTTTGCTTATGACTAAACGACAATTTTACATTATACGCATATAATGTGGATATACAATAATTATAAATTGTTACGCCCTGGGATGAATTGAGCCGTCGACTTGCGTGCGTATGACGATAACGCACCGATGGATAATATTAGACCAGTGGCCGACGACGCAACTGAGTGTACAACATATTGCACATCGACGAATAATGAGTATAATACGAAATTTTGACACCAACGGCCATTGACGCGAAAAAGTGCACATCAAAACATGAGATATCCGTAACGGATACTACGTCACGACAATTTCATCATGTAAAAAACTGAAAAGTACGAGCATTTTCGAATGCGGCTACTCGCAAGCACACACGCGACGCAAGTCAGAAGACTGTCAAATTAGCAAAAACTGGCTATTATTATTACTGTTTGTTTGGATAATTTTAATGGAATAGTCCAATAAAACGGATTACGTAACGCCGACCGTTCGTGTCGTGATAGCCACGACGGTTTGTTTAAGTTGAAAATCAAAGGACTATTTCTACTACTTATCAAGTTATCACAGATATAAAAAATAAAAACACATATCATTGTAAAATCAATACATTACATGCAACAAATGTCGCATCAAGTTTTCTGTTTATTTTACCCAGAGAATAATTGAAAATCAGATTGATGCCCCCATATATTTTACAGTTACTTAGTTTTCGAGTACGGAGAGCACTAAACTTCGGTAGCCCTTTTATTTTCCAGTGAGTCGTTCCAACTGGCAACTTCGCAAAGAATATTCCCATTATAAGAATCACATCTTTAAATAATATTATCCAATAATCACTCTTACCAAGGCCATCTTTTTCTTTTATGGATATTAAGTTTAAATGTATACATTACTGTTAAATGGTTCATTCTATTATTTCTTAAATACTGTTGTTTAAAACCCTAATGATGTTAATTTATAAATAAAAATGTTACCCTCTTCTCTCCGACAGGAAAATTTAACGGATTACTAAACCTATGCACCAACTACCCAACAATAATAATATGTTTAGTTTCAGTCATAGTTATAAAATATCTCTTGTTTCAGTACTACAAAATGTTGGAAATGACGGAACAGGCATATACATGATTCACTTTAATTCTTATTATTTACAAGGAGTATTGAGTGTCAAGGCTTTTTTAAAAAACAATACAGTCATAGGTTATACAAATATTAAAAAAAATGTTCCATGGCTTCGTGGAATCTTAAACAAACATGTATGTAAATATATATCTTTACAGGTATTCATTTTAATTTTTGACTTATTATATTGGCTTGGTTTTTTAATGACAATACAACTTAGATATTTTAGAACGAATAATATATAAATTTACCATTCGAGATTTTGACAGTTCACAGAGACTACATGCGTTTTACCAACCGTCGATGGTGTTGTATATTCTTATGAAGGTTCTGATGATATCTTATCTCACGGGGCATTAATTAATCATAATCTTACTATTATTGAGAATTGTGAAGTTGGATATCATAAGGCTTATACCAATAGTTCTAGGTTTTGCCTGGGAAAAGGAAAATGGTTAACCAATTTTGAGAAATTGTGTTTCAGTAAGTATTGTATAGTTTTTCGAATGTTGTGAAAATTACTTATTTATTTATATATTTAACTTAAGGCGACAATGTGTATATACTATATGTTGGATTATAATTTATTTACTTTTATAGAAATGTGTCCACCTCTAGACTCAAATAGTTTGGATATTAAATGTAGTCATAATGGTAAGTATACTGGTAATTGTTCAAATTTATCGATACCCGATACAATAGCAACACCATCATGTAAGTCAACATATACTACATCAAATGGACAAGATAACACTCCACTTGAATTAATTTGTCAATCTAATGGAACATGGAATAAACAACTATATAAATGCGATCCATGTAATTGTATTTGTTGTCATAATATAAACATAAGTCTCTAATTTATATATATACTCCTAATTTATTTAACTTAAACTATATGCATTATAATAATAATAAGACTAGGGAAAAAAATTGATAAGCATTGATTATGCATAATCGTGTGATTTAAATTTTTACACCGTCATCATTATGCATATTCTATAGGTTTTATTACTTATTAACTATTTTCACATTTATTTTTTTTCAAATACTATTATAGATTGTGGTAGAGTGTATATCATAAACCAAATATTGATTAATAATGGTGAAGAAGCTCTTGTAGGGACGGCACCATGGAATGTTGGAGTATATAAATTAAATAAAACAACTTTCAATTATAACTTGATTTGTGGAGGATCAATAGTTTCTCCAAATTTAGTCGTTTCTGGTAAAATCGATGTAAAATGTATTCAAGAAATAATAATTAATTAAATACGTTTTTAGCTGCTCATTGTTTTTGGCAAAAAGGTATGTTATCCAATAGAATATCAATAAACGACGGTCTATACAAAATTGCTGTCGGAAAATATGCGAGAGATTTTTCAATCATTGACAATGATTTTACTCAAATAATTAATGTAAGTTATTAATCATTGAAAATTTAAAACAAATTTGGATGATATGTGTGATATAAGTAATATAAAACAATTGTATAGGTAGATATTGTTAACCTGAAGGAAGGTTATTATGGACCTACTGGGTTTCATGCTGAAGATATAGCTATTATTGTGTTACAAAATAGAATATCTTTTAGTAATGGTGTAGCACCTGTTTGTATCGATTGGAATAGTATATACAATGTTAGCAATGGAGATCAAGGAAAGGTCGGTTTATAGTATTATTTAAATAATAAAATTATGATAAATATAACTATTAATAACTATATATATCACCTAATTATATTTGTAGATACATTATACAACTGTTTTATATTTTACAGATTGTTGGTTGGGGAAAAACAGAAGAAGGCATTTCAAATCCTACTTTGTTAGAAGCATCTTTACCATACATTGACCATAGTTCTTGCCGGAATATGTATACAAACGGATTTGAATCATTTGTGACTTTTGATAAATTTTGTGCCGGATCTGCATTGGGTAATAACATATTTAAACATAAATCCTACTGTGAAATCGTCGATTTGTTTAAACAATTTAACTTAAGTTTTAAATTTATTAAACACTGAATATTGATATATGGTAGACACTTTTAAAAATGAAGATAAACTTAACTTATATGCAATATAATGAATCACATTTATCTTTAGTAAAAGAATACAAAATATATCTCTACAAATCGTTCAAACAAACTATATTTGTAGCAAGCGTACGTTGGCGCCACTTTACGTATGTGCCCCCCTCTATATTCGATTTTTATACATTTTTGTTGGCAATTCATATTTAAATTGTAATTAACATGTATTTGAATGTTAACTTTTGTAATTAACATTCGTTTTAATTAGGCGCGTTACCGAAAAGTATGTGGAGGGCTGTAAACTTGTGTCTCCAATCCCCCCCACACATCAAATATCAAAATCATTTATTTTCAAATTTGTTTCTAGGTTAATATTTTAATTTTATTTGCCGAGGTTCTGTTAATTAATGATCTCCTCTTAACAATATTCACGTTTGTATATACTTTTCTATGTTATTCTTATTACTTATAGTTTTAATTTTGTTAAAAAATGGAATATAATATTTAAATTAAAAAAAAAATTAATATTTAGTATCTAATTAGCATGTATTTGTATGGTTGATCCCCCAACTCTATCGACATCAGTTGGTTCGCAAAATCCATTTTCCTAATTCACAAGAGTCCTCAGCCCACCCGGGGGGGGGGGGTGAGGGGTGCCCTCACTTCACGATTTACTTGGAATGCTCCAAACCTATACCAATATTTTACAACTAATTTTCAACTATCTGCAATAATCCTCTTAAAATTTTCATCTCCATACTTCTAACATCTATGAACATTTTTGACACACAAATCGATATTGAATATTAATAAGAAAACAAATTATTAAGCTTAATATTGGCCTAGAAACCATTTTGCAATTCCAAGTATTTTGAGGAAGTGGTGAGGGGGCATTACCATTACATTATATGTAAATATAAACTTATTTAAAAATAAAACAAAATTTATTAAAAACATTTATTTATTAACATTCTAATGTTAATGGCCGTCTCTATAATATACGACAGTACACAACTGCCATGTGATTCATTTAAGTATTATGAATAAATTATTTTTAGTTTCAGGACAAGGAGTGGGTACGGGAGATAGCGGTGCAGGCTTAAGCTTTTTACACTCCAATTCATATTATTTAACCGGAGTAGTGAGTATAAAAGATCCAAATACAAAAAACTCAATCGCTGTTTTTACAGAAGTTAAATATCACATTCAATGGATTCGTGAACTGTATAGAAAATATAATTATGTCCCATAAGTTTAGGTATGGTAATTTTATTAAAGTAATTTATTCTAAATGTAATTGAAATCAATATTTGTATTAATAAGTTTTTACTTATGTGTAGCAATTTTTAACAGTTTATACAATTCTAATTTCACCAAACATAATAGATATGTAAGTCATAATACATAGGTAGTACCTAAGCATTATATATTATGTATAATAATTGACAAATATTAAATTTGAACAGTTTTTAGCATTTACCGATTTTTCATTATTTAATAATTTATTTGTTTTTCTATTGTACTTGAAATAACTATTATTCTTAATATTACTTTTTATAAATAGCACCTATTGTTTAGTTATTATATTGACTTGGTTTTGTTGATGAACATTTTTGCAACAAAATTAATATATTTGATTAAAAACTAATTTTTAATTCTACTTTTTAACTTTTTATGTTCACACATACCAAATTACAAAAATATTAAGGAGTGGTGTGGTACGGGGTTACCCCGCAAAATGTTTGTCCATTACTCCGCGGCTTGTCTAAACTTTAAATAGTTATAACTCATAAACTACTCGTCCTAAATTCGATTTTTATGTATTAAAATACTTTGAAAAATATTCAGCTTTAGAAGACAAAATTAAAACTCTATGTTGTCATTAAAAAAAGTAAAAAACTTAAAAAAATATAAGGATTAAAAATATTTAAAAATATGATTTTTTAATAAAAACGTTGTTTTTTAACAACTTGAAACCATGTAAAAAAATATTTTCAAAAACATTAATACTTTTTGAAATAATGAGTGTTTCATGATAAAAGAATAAACTCGTATACTATATACGCTAGACATACAGTTTTAGTGTACGGCAGTGTTCATGGACAAATCGGTGTCAGTGTACCTAGATTTGTTAAATAATTTTGCCAATCGAACTGAAAGTGGCGGATTGGATTTAGCACTTGGTATATTTTTTAACGTGATTTAACTACTTACTATATTAACTTTTCTGACACCTCTAAAAACAATCTCTGAGATTTTCGTAAAATTCAATTGAGTACTATTTAAGTATAATAACCTACACACAAATATTTGCTTTTAAAATATAATTTCCTTATTTGAGGCCATTAGCGTTACAATTTGATGCACTGCTTTGTAGCTGATCTTGCTCAATGGAAACCATTTATAAACAGAAAAAAGTTTCAATTACCACAGTGAATCTCAAGATCCCGATTTGATCGTCTCTTTAAAATGCGTATAACTGGAAAAATCCTGTCTTATTGCATATCTTGAGCATCAGAGGAACTACTATTCTAAATTGTATTTCAGTATCGTACGTTTTTTAAATAATAATGAATGATGAATGAGTGGGTGAGTGAGTAAGTGAGTGGTAGGGTGGCTTAATTATTACTAACATTTCTCTTGAGTGACTTCCGACAAAGCTATTTTTCATTCAAATTTGAGATCATGAAGAAACATACCTAAGTTTTTCTCTTTTAAATATAATATTATAGTCACAAAATGTGGGCAAGTGGGTGTCGCTCTGCTGTACAGTAGGTTACAATAGTGGGTGACTGTATAATGGATGGTATTACATTTGAATTCAATGATATTATATCATTGTATAAGAAAAACGATTCTGAGCGGAGACGGTATGCCCTTCTAGGTATAAGACATATTACCTATATACTTATGTATGGTATTAAAAAAATTGACCTATAATGAATTCCAAATTAATCATATCACAATATCCATTAGGTGCTTATAACGCGTTATACACCAACAACAAACCCCGATACTATCATAGATATATAGTAGTATACTTTAGAAATTTCAAGTACCCACGAATAATATTATACAATCACAACAAAATAACTAAAATAGTTATTCTAGGTTTTTTATTATGTAATTTCGTCCTAATTTGAATTTAAAATATCTGTAAAATATAACTGTGTTCATATATTTTTTAGATTTTTTGGTTACAGTATGAACTATTTATGAGAACCTTTGTTTTAAATTTGCAATCCTAAGCTATAAAAACTGAACATTTTATAATTTATTATTTACAATGATTGATAATTTTTGAGATTTTGATACATTTTGTCAAAATTCGATCTTTAAATGCTTATAAAAAAAATTGTGCCTATGTATTTTTAATATTTTTCAATTTCTATTGTAACAATATATTAGGAGCCTTGTATTAAATTTTTATACTTTTTGGTAAAACAGATAAAACTTTATTGACATTTTTAAATCTTATATTTAAAAAGAAAAGTTTTTACGAATTCTTAACTCAAAATAACTTGCTAATTTTAGTGATTTTTCAATATTTTGTTAATTTTTGAACTTTAAATGCTTATAAAATAAAATTGTGACTAATTATTTTTAATATGCTTTTGAAACAATATACTAGGAGCCTAAACAGTTCAAAACAAATCATAATATTTTAAAAATTTTATCGTGTATAGAAAATGCAAATATAAACAAACAGTGAAAATTGCATGCATATACGTTCATTTGTTTTAGAGTTACACCAAAAACCAAAATCGATATTTTGGAAAACAGATTTTAGTGTAAAAATTCCCGTTTTTCCTTAATTTTTATGTGTTTAATCCCGGCGCTTGTGAAAACTATTGGGAATTTTAAAATTTGACCTCCCGAATGCAGCAACAAGATTCACTTTCCAATCGAACAAGATACTGAAGTTGAAAATCGAAGCATTATTTCGACTACTTATCGTGTAAACAGACACAAAAAAATTTAAAAAAAAAAAAAAAAAAACATCATTGTAAAATCAATACATTCATCGTTCCACTCAGAATCTAAAAGTACAATAGGTATTAAGTATATAGGTACGTAATATCAGAGAATTATTTGTTATAGTTGATTATAGTAGAAAATCGGTGAATGTATTTTATGTATTTATATTTATGGATTATAATATAGTAACTGTCATGTTGCATTCGGCCTGCAAGCGATCCAGATGTGGATGTTGTACTAAATAAATAGTTGGAGACAATTTTCAACAGTTATTATATTAGATAATACAATTTTATAATATAGATGTTGTGGACGTTCATGATACCACTAAATATTATGCATTTGTAATATATGAATAATAATATACTCTTAAACACTTAAATATACTTATAGAATGAATATACCAGATACGAACATATTTGGGTATAAAAATCAAAAGAAATTAAAATATATCACGCAATATAAAATAATATTAGGTAACCAACATTCTTTAATAATTAGATCGTCGTTTGAAAAATAAGAAACTGCCACAGCAAGTTATTAACATTCATATCATTCAGGGTACTAGAAACATATCCATATTTGAGCTTAAATAAATGAAATTATCGGCCCCCATGCAGCAATGTTTATTGTACAAAAAACACATAATGTAAATATACAACCAATACACCAGTGTATTACCTCCACTGGGCCCTAAGTACGATTTTCCTAAGCGTGGTTACTCTGCTGCACTTATTCCAGAGATATAAAATGATTAAGGCTGATTCAAGCATTTTGTCGTCTCCCTTGTTCTTCTCAACCCGGTTTACAGCCCGCCAGTCTCGAAGTCTCGTACTCCATATTCTCGGCCTATCGGTCAGTGGCATCGAGAGGCGCATCCCGAGTACCCGTTGTCACCTTAACCGTGGGGTCACCTGGACGGTGTCCAACCGTGCCGTTTGTATTACTAAAGCTCAGAGGCACTCCTGCCGCTGTGAGGCCGTTTCAGATGAGCGTGATACTGAGGTGCGGGGTGGGTCGGAGGTCAAAACTCTGAATTCCAGTCACCGTAGAAGCCAGACCTTCAATCCATGGCTATCGATGATGGAGGGCGATGTTGAAAAGAAAAAAAAAGAATGTAATATCTTATAAACAATTTAAACTAGGTGTACCTATATATAAATCCATTTAATGACTACAAAAATAAAAAATCGAAGTCGTCGAAGGATTTGTAAATAATAACTATTATAAAATACGATACTAAAAGGAACCTTTCGAATGCAAAATTATAATTATATTATTATGTTTTAAGAAAAAATATTAAAAAATTCTAAATATATAGTCCTATTATATATGAATATCTAGAAACGTATTTTTTTTATAGATAAACTATTAGCAGTATAATTTGGCGTAGTGGTAGAAACTATATAATCAATTTTAAAACATGTTAGTAAAACAATTTTTTCATTGCCACCTATCTACGTAGTTTGACCTTCGGTCGATATACTGATCGCATAGCTGGTAGGAGGTACATAGTATCAAACCGACTACATACTAGCATCATGCGTTAGTAGTTTAGATTTTTAGAAAACTCGATATTATGTGTCTAGAACTCTAGTGTGATAAAGAGGTATTGTTAATATCGTATAGTATTGTCTTATGAAGTTTAAATTAATAAATTTACAATAAATATATATATATAGGTATATTATATTATTATAGTATACTAGCTGCCTGTTAAATGTATCAACTCTATAGGACTCAAACTCTGTTCAATTAGTTATTTAATATTCGGTGTACGGTGTTCAAAATTTATCCTATTATTTCCGTTGCCCGGAATACAAATTCTGAATCACGGCAGTACATTATCAGGTAGGCAATCTACCTGCGGTAGATCGCGGACCCCGTGCTGTTTGCACGTTAGTGTATGATTTAACTCTAAAGTATCAAAGTTTGTTGTCGTTTTTACTTGATTCCACCTACGGTTGATTAAAATAATCAATTTATTTAATCCCATTAAATATAATTTATAATATTTAAAAAGTAAAGAAATATATTATATATTTTTTTTATTATTATTATTATAGCTTAAAAACCCATGGAAACCATTTATAAACAAAAATTTCCATCTGAAATCTCGAAATTCTCGTTTGAGCACCTCCCGGGGTTGGTTCTCTCCCTTTTTAAATTAGCTTATGTTGTAAGTTGGACCAAAGTACACACAGTCTACAAATTTCATCAAGATCGGTCCAGTAGTTTTTACGTGCAAGAGTAACAAAGTCACAAACTTTCACGTTAATAATATTAATAGGATTTTGCTATATTTACATAGATATACATGTTAGAAATTTCACGGATATTGTTTGTATTTTTTTTTATATAATTGCTTTGATTTCAGCTCATCATTGGCAATGAAGATGACAAATACCTGGTTAATATATTCATGTTTATTTTTCGGTACGTTATATCAGTATTAACAATTTCATAACAAATATAAAATAATGTTTTATAATGAAATTATGTTTGTGATTAGTGTAATATTTATTAAATATACTCAAAACATGTAATAAATAGATCTATCTTCATTAAACACACCATTGCAATCAAGGTATATATAATATACATGTATTATAGGTATATATATAATAAGAAATTTTTCGAAAAGAACAGTCTGTCAAACAAGTATACTGATAAACCAAAATTGAATTTAAAACTGATTACCTATGTAATAAAAATAAAAATTTCTTTACAAAATATTAATGCAGGTTTCATTTCTTGAGATTGAATTTCCATATCAAGTAATAAATCAACGTGTGTAACAACATATAATATAATAATGTAACATAATATATTTTCTGAGATAATTTTTATATAATCTAAAATAATAGGAACATTATAGCTATTGTATCGAGAGGCGAGACAAAATTGTAAGTGGTAAGTACCTTGAGAGTGAAACTTTATTTCCCCGCCCACTATTATTAACTAAAATACGGCCTCCACATGTATTATACTCACGAGTTCACGATGTATAACATAACAATATATTACCTTATACCTATTAGTATTTATATGTTGTTATTGAATTAAAAACCGAAAATGCAGTAAAATCAATAATAATAATAATCCATTGAACATTGTTTAAGTATTTAATGTATAAAAATTCATTATTTCAGGATCCGGAATTTTGTGTGACAGGGATGATTCTTGCTCAATGTTGGTAACTGTAGTTTAAATGCATATCATTTTATTATAAGGGTCGAAAATAGTGGTGGTTGGTACCAAGGGGAATTAGAAATCTTAAGATCTTAATATAAGCACCATCAATCAGTATAATATGACCTATATTTAATATTAGGTATTCTTAGTACTAACTAAACATTATGTTCCAGAAGATCAAACCCCCTTCTTTTTTACATTTAAATTCTGTAGAAAATCAACTTTGCCTACTATCCTCTCATTTTTTTCTATTGTTAAACTTTTGTGTACGCATATGACATCGGAGTCCGACATTTATTAATATACTCTGAAATTGAATGGTTTAGTATTAACTTGAATCTATTTTATATTAATCTCTTTAAGTTACATAAAAACGTTTCAAAAACCTTATTTTTTTACTAAAATATTTTGTTCACATTTGCTTATAATTGTTTAATATACTGTATTAAATAATAATTTGTTGTACACTTCAATATAATTACAGAAATACTGAGGATAAGTTTTTTTGTTCAAATGAACTGTGTATCGAATGGTCGTTGGTTTGTGATGGTCGTAAGGATTGTTCAGATGGTTCAGACGAGACCAAAGAGTTGTGTGCTCAATATGAATATGGAGCAGATATAACCACAAGTACAATATAATATCATTATTTTATGACATTCAATATTATTTATAATATGTTTGTGTAATTGTATAATAACTAATAATAGATGCCAGAGTTACGCATCTATATATAATTTATATAAATGAATATTGGTCTGTCTGTGTGGGTGAGGGTGTCCTTTGGTTGCCATGTTTACCATGGCTTTTGAAGCTATTCTGATAATAACTATTGGTTGCCGGGCAACAAAGTACAGCATGGGATCATTTAGTACAGAGATAGGTTAGACATCTGGGCAGAAGAATAGAAGATAGGCTAATTTAAAAAGGAAGAGGACCAACCCGGAAGGTGCTCAAACAGGGATTTTGGGATTTACAATGGACATTTTTGTTTATAAGTGGTTGCCATGGGTGTCAAAGCTATTATAATAGTGATACTTGGTGGCCATTGGTTTAAAATTGCTATTATGGTAACAGTTATATTTTAAAATAAAAAATATTATTTATATAGAATTGGCATTTTTAATGGGCAACGAAGTGCACGGGATCAACTTGTATTAATATAAATATAGATCTTCTAATATTACATCTAATGTACCCAATAATTTTGTAGATTGTGGTAGAGCTGAGTATTCCAATCGCGATCAATATGTAGAAAGTTTTAAATATGAACTTGTTGGAACGGCACCTTGGAATGTTTTAATATATAAATTAAATAAAAAAACTTCCAAATTCGACTTGTCTTGTGGAGGGTCAATTATCTCTCCAAATATAGTAATATCTGGTAAAATCCTTGTACATTATATTTAAGAAGGAATGAAAATTAATTAAATAACGTTTTAGGAGCTCGATGTTTTTGGCAAGATGATATGTTATCTAATATAATATTAGTTAACGATGGTCGAGTACAAATTGATGTTACTGGTACTGACGAAAAATTTAGTGACTTAATGGATGTAAAGTATTAATAATTCAAAGCATAAATATAATTTTTACGATATGTATAATAGAAACTAAAATAATTGTGCAGGTGGAAATGATTTATCTGAAAGAAGGTTACAATGGAAATACTAGGTTTCATGTTGAAGATATAGCTGTTATTGTGTTACCTTACAAAGTTAAGTATAGGAATGGTGTGGCACCTGTTTGTATCGATTGGAGTAGTATATATAATGTAAAGAATGGAGATCAAGGAATGGTAAATACGTTATACTATATTGGTTAGCAGTTTTAATAAATACATAAAATACAATTTGAAATTGGTTGTCTGGTTGAACTAAGAATAAATTCCAAAAACCAACTGCTATTAAGTTAATTGAGTAAAAAAACTTACAATTCACCTAGTTCATTTTTGTCAAAACGGTAAAGTTGTGTGAATATTTACGTCACAATTCTACTACGAAGAACGCAGATACAAGTTTAAAATACTTTCAGATTGAGCTATGCAATATTAAAAATTTGTCCGTTCTAATATGAACAAAATGGGTATGCAATGTATGCCTCTTTGCACATCCCTAATAAATCGTATGTGTTCTGCAAGTATAATTGTTGTCAAGTGCACTTTGGCGGTTTACATTCACACCCAAAATAAAAAAAAAATTTTGTAAAATCCCTAAAAATTATTTTAATTTCGTATTAGTTCCTTCTCCAAAAGTTTAAAACTTTTGATTAGTCAGACTTTATTCAAAAATGCAATTGAGTTCATTACAGATACTCACATAACGAGATATTAATATATTATTATACCTTTATTTACCTTTTTTTACTTTTTATTATAATTGCACATTATACATCTTTTTCATACTTTTCAGGTTAATATTTGGCACCGGGACAATGTTACACAATATTCTGTTTTATCAGAAAGATGGCTTCAATACATTGACCCTGACACTTGTCGAAAAATTGAACCAGACCGATTTAATCAATTCGTGACTTTTGATAAGTTTTGTACCGATAATATACTGGGTAATACAAATTTAGATTCTAATTGTAGTGATAAACGCAAGGCTGGGCAAGCTAATGATTTTTTTTTAACTCGTTAAGTTATGTTATTTTAAAATAATAAAGTTAAGTTAAGTTAAAAGTTATTCGAATTTTTTTTCGTTATCTCGTTAAGTTAAAAGTTAACTTTGAAAAAAAAAGTAACTTAACTTAGTGTAAAGTTAAAATTTGCAAATTTGCCAAAGTAAAAAATTCCAAACACATAATATTATGGTTTATTAGATAGTTTTTTCTTTACGCTCGAGAAAATTACTGGGGAAATTTAAAATGATACATCAAAGTAAAAACCCATTCAAAAATTTGCATTATTCTTCGGACGAAAATTAACTTAATTT